GAAGGGGGCATATCCGGCTCATATCTTCCACCAATGAAACTCAAGTGGCACATCTTAAGTGAAAAACTTGGAGTGCCCCCTTAAGGTAATAACCTATTTTTATTTTGTTTGTGTTTTTTTCTCAATTATTTATATTGTGCCCCTCTTTTAACAAAACCTGGATACCCCTACTTGTTGTATGATAAGAACACATCATACAGCGTGGGAAGTGTGGAATAACCAGTCGTCAGTAAAATCTGTTTAATAACCTTGTCAAGTTCCAATGCTGTAGCTTAATGCTTCCGTGCACGCCACACACCACGTGAATAGTGAAGTTAAATGATGATGAATCAAGGCACTGTTTCATAAAACCGGTTATGACTGGCTGAGAGCGAATTTGGCATAGAATTATGGAAATCTTTTTATTGACGAGAAGCTTCAAAAACAGGCCCCGGTGTGATTAATCGAATTGGGAAGGGTGATAATGCTGACAAGTTTTTTGTTCTAAATTGTGACAAAAGGCTGAAAATTGCCTTGTTGTTCATTTATGTATGCAGTCAACCCGATTCCTAATCATAGACGTACGAGACCCTGGGGGGAGGGGGGGGGGGGGTTGCTAAGTGAACTGCAGCCTCCTTGGAAAAAAAATCCAATATTCGGGTAACCAGCATCACAAATTCGGGCAGCAAGATGCCCAGCAAGATGGATGCCCAAATAGCATTATATTCCAGCTGTGTAATGCCCGAATAATCTTATATTCACACAGGAGGTGCCCAGATTTCGTAATATTCACTTCAGAAAGGGTCAACTTTGTGTGCGGTTGCTTGTTCGGGAACAAGGCTTCAACCCCCTCCTCGCCAAAATGTGCCGTACGGCTATGTTTTTGATTGAATTGCTCACGGTAAATTGTAATAACCTGTTTTCATCGCTATACTTTTGTTTGTTCCAGGCATGGGCGTAAATCTGCAATTGATACCTATTGTTCAGGGGGGGGGGGGGTGATCTATTCATTCATCCACCCTGAACAATAGGTATTATGTAAGGATTTACGCCAATGGTTCCAGGAAGTTGAAAATGGAACCTGATCTGCTAAGGTATTTCAAAGAAGAATGTCAATTTTCTAGGACATTGTAGGCCCTTTCCTATATACCTTCATCGTCGTTTGCAGTATGTATCTCAGCCACGCGTGCGTGTGTGTGTGTGTGTGTGTGTGTGTGCGTAGGTGCGTGTGAGTGTGTGTGTGTGGGGGGGGGGGGGGTCATCTACTGGAGACGATTCAAATCCAAATCGAAAACATAGAACTTGTGCGCAAGCAGAAGCGCCCCCCCCGTTTTATTGCAAAATGATCCACCATTGAAAACTGATATCGACAATTGTTCTCTTCTTCGTCTGTCTCTAGACGGGCAGGGAAAATAACCTTTACATGAAAAAACAAATCTGGCTTTTGAGCTCACATGAAGCTGGGCAGCCATATTATGTAGGCCTTCAGGTGACTGTTATCCGTCAACCATCTAGAGATTCAGAGCTATATTAGATTTTGATGCCTCCATTTTATATTTAAAGTCAGGTCAAGCGGTTACATTGTGAAAGAAACTGGAGAAGGAAAAAATGGGGTAGTAAAAAAAGAGTTCAGCATGCTTAAGCACTGCACAATACAGACAGATTTGTGTATGTTGGAATCCAAACACATGAAAGTGTGTTCCAAACTTTGAATCTATTTCTCGTCATATTCGAATTTGAGGGCATTTGAAGAGTAATCTTTTACAGGTGCCACTTCATCTATGATATTCTTTCAAAAAAGAATACAAAGAATGAGTAAGTTAAAAATTAATTCACCTTAATCAGAACAGAGGGCAATCCAATCTTCGTAATAAGTTTTTTTGTATAGGAAAGCCGAAAAATAAGAGAAATAGAGTGGCGAAAGACTGTAATAAATTGTACAATTAAACGAAATTTAAGAATGTTTGATATAATTTAAGTGATCACTAAATACACTGTATATGCGAATTTCGAATTGCCAATCTTGTCGATGGATTCCTCTTTTTGCCGTGAACAAAAGTATAATTCATTTCTGTTTTTCTCGTAAGTGCCCTTTTCCACAAAATACATCATGGCTGACATATTTGTTTAGGTCATCTAAACAGAAAAGGCCATCCGGAGTCATTGGAACCACTGGGAAAGTTGTCTGGCACGACAGCACAATGACATTACCGATTCGACCAAATTGAATTTCCCATATGTATATTGATTAAAACTTTCACAAATTCACGACCTTCTCAATGTTTCTCAGATATCATCGACACTTTCACCAGTTTGCCTGTCCGATTTGTTCTGCTTCCTTTTAGAGTAGATTGCAATAAAGGTTTCCCATCATCCTTCTCTATAATCATCAAAACACTGATCGAAGTAACAAACATGCAATAATGGCCTCTACGCTCGAATACTATCATCACGTTGCAAAAAGCATGGTCGGGTAACCCCTTAACATCGTGATAATCATCCTTGAAAAAAAAATCAATTCTTAAAATGATAATTGCCTAAGGCTTTTCTTTATTTTTCGTGAAGAGGATTGTAATAGTAAACAACCCCATTTTAGGAATGACATCACTATGAACTCATTTAAGTGACTTCTTGTTTATACCCGAGGGTGGATTACGGACCCATAAAATACCATTATTCTATAATCTTGATGGGAATTCCGTAATAAGCCAACTTAATGTTTAAAGTAATAGCTCATCAGTTACACCGCCAAAATCAACTTCGAACCGAGTGGTGTTTGGTCATTAGGGGGACGGGTTTATGAGATACCTGTCTTTATGATCGGTCGGTCAACTTGGTGTGTCTGGTTTGAAAGTGTTTATTGCATACACGTCGTATTTATGTTTTCAGAGAATTCCACGGTTGATGTTATATTAACTTACGTTTTTCCAAAGAATTGTTTACGAAGATTCGTAATTTCGAAGAGTCGGTATTTCTGCAAACGATCGAATATAAATATAGGGATGTTTTCTGAAAGTTCTGTTAACAAGGAGATAAGTGATTCCGGAAAGACTGGACTTTTTTTTCTTGTCATTTTTGTCTCTGATATCTTCTTTAGTGGAAGAAAATTGTCGATTATAGTCATATTTCATGTAGTTTTTTTGTTAATGACTTTGCCATTAGCCTTTCTTTAACAACCAACGTGTAGCTTTATCGATTTGATTTGATTTGATCTGACCTTACGTGATTTCTTTGTCAGCAATAATATATTACATGCATGTATATGATACATGATACATGAGACCGATACAGGTTTAAATCGAATTACATCATAAGATCACGTTGGTAACTAATATTTTCCAGTGATGGTCTTCTTATAGAGAAATATGTTTAAAGCTGAGGCAGAGCCCAAAATCCTCTTCCCCGTCGATGTCACTGTTCGAGATTTTTTCTTCTTCGATCTGTAGTCTGAAGTAGGGCATTTTATCGACATTGCAAGTGTAACACTCCGAATTGTTGATAATTGGTAGCGTGGATATGATGAGTGTTAGTAAAACATATAACAGATGACTCGAGAACAAATAATAATATAGAGCTCAAGATAGTATTTTATTAAAGATGATTATAGCCTCTCCTCTGTGTACGCCTACAATAGGCAGGGGCAATCACTGTCCAATCCCCACCTGAAGGTAGTGAGGACGAGACCTTTAAGAACTCCTCTCCACCCATGTGCTCGATAGAAATCCGGTAGAAAGAGGAAGGTAGATGTGTCGTAGTCAAGAGGTCACGGGGCAAAGGTTGTGGGGATGGGCTGACACAACACGTCACTATTTCAATGAGTAGGGAACGTTATCAAAATTGCTCCTCTCCGGGCTCCTCTCTACCCAGTTGCTAATACCCATGTAGAATAGGATATGCAATTCAATCCGATTGCCATAATTCTGCGCTCCCGTACATAAGAGGGCGAATCGCTGGAATGCTCCCCAGGTAGCAGAAAATGTCCACTGTAATATGCAGAACAGTAACTGAATCCAATGACCCTGGTTATAGTACAATCAGTGCTTCATTAAGCCCCCATCACACCAAACTAGTTCTCACTACGTTTTGGAACCGTCCTAGAAAATCGTAAAACGGGTTGTGGTCGGAGTAGAATTTGTAAATAATGTCTATAATACAACCCTAGTTCGTTCATAAACAGTCCTCAATACGTCCATCTCGTCTGTACCCCGTCCACAGTCAGTTCATATCAAGTTCAGATCGGGAAAATTTGCTTTTTTCAGGCAGTCCGAGCCCGTTCATGCTTTAAACAAATTGTTAAAAGTTGCTACTATGTTCAAATCTATTCGCACACAGTTTGAGCACATTTTTCAGAACGTATTGAGGACTAGTTCGGTTTGATGGGGGCTTAAGTTTAAGACGGGAAACAATCATAAATTGCTAAGTTTGCGAGGGAGTAAAATCCCGTTAAAGACCGTATCCGAATTGCAAAATGAAATGGATGAATTTTATATCAACGGAAAGCTTATAAGCCAATGATTACGATAATATCAAGTATATGCCTTTTTAGGGTCTGTCAGAGGAGTATCAACTCTCTGAAAACTCAAGATCTAAAGCTTCGAAAATCGGGAGTTTTCGCCATATCGAGTGCATATATTATGTCGTCACTATAACTGCGGCAAATTTGACCCCTGCTGACCCGTCATTTGGAGGGGTGAGGAAAATGAGGTTTTAATTTGCTTTTGTGCAGCAACCCTAAATACTTAACTTCCTTTATATTTGTATTCTACATTTATTTAGTTTTCTATTTATATCAAGTTGTTTTTTCATCGGATCGGGTCATCAGTTTTAGACCGCTTTATCCTAAGCCGTCATTTTATTTGTATATAATAACAATGATTATTATTAGTGTTCATTAATGTTATTATTTTCATTATTAATATTCTTCTTATCATAAATACTATTATTTTCAGTATTATTATCATGATCATTTAAATCGTGTTAACAAACCAAATGCTACTTATCATTGTTTTTATGTGCATTAGAATCGCATCAGGGAGAGTATGGACATCTTTAAAGCGGTATGTAACAGCGTCTGGTTTAAAAAAACATCGCTAATGATCTTCTTCAATAAAACAGACCTGTTTGAAGAGAAGATCAAAACCGTTCCACTAACTGTCTTCAGCCCGGAGTACACAGGTATGTACATACTAGGGAGATATAATTACCCTTTTATATCCAGTGACATAAATCCGTTACGAGGAGGGGGATGATCGCAATTAGGCCTCTGAATCACAAATTACTCTACTAAATGGAGATGCATGTGATGTTTAGAAGACAACTAATTTTATGACGTTGTGAACTTAATTTTCTATTTTGATTTTAAGAAAATTAAGGAACATTTTATAGCAATGTTGTCAACATTTTAAATATTAAGTAATTGATTACAATTTTTCCTTGAAAATTGTTGGGGTATATTTTTTTAAAGGCACCTCCTCCATCAAAAGTGTGCGTAAGTGTGTGTGTGGGTGTGAGGGGGGAGGGAGGGATAAATATCCCCATTCGTGGGATTTAAGCCCAAAGTTGGGGAGCTCGTGATCTTTGTTGTAGTAAGGAGAAGTAAGTAAAGAGTTCAATCCCTTTCTTTATTAGAGAAAAAAAATACATATCAAGATTAAGGGAGCAGTGCCCGGAAATGAAATCAATCGCACGGTAAAACGTGGAAAATCCGGGCATTTTACACTTATACTGACAGAGTTTTCAAGGGGACCAACCACCACAGAAAATTCTAATGACCCTTTTTAGGAAGGATATTGTGCCCCTTCTCTTACTAACTTGTGAATCCGCCCTTGCACTTTAACAGAGGTTGGGTTCCAATAAGAGCTCTGTTAGAATCAATCTTTGAGATGAGATTCCACGGATCTGAACATTTTACACTCACGATTTTAGTTATAGGATTTTATTATTTAAACAAATGTAATGTGCATTTTAAAGGCATGAAGTCCGTCCATTTGACGGGGAAATCCTTAACTAATGCATTCGCGGAATTGATGCGATTCGATTCACCAAAACGAAAAGAAAATGGAAAACAATTTAAGAACAGTAGTCCTTTTCAGGACTACAAACCCTCAAGAAAGATCCACCCTCTCTCTCACACATGGTGCACCCGAAAGCCTATTGTATATCTACATCACCATGCAAGCCGATACTTACAAGCAGCATCTAATTTAAGAACGACTTATAAATGCCACGGTGTGAAAGCTACTGTTATGTAGAGGAAAAGAAAAATGAAGTATGTTTACACAAAAGTTTTGAATACTGTTCATATTTTTAAGTATTTTAAAACAATGTTTCATTTTTCTCAATTATTTTGTTTAATTTTAACTTGTAGGATCCAATAGCTCTCGCGAAGCAAGGAATTACATCCGTGACAAGTTTTTGGCGTTAAACAAGTTCAAACATCGTCAAATTTATCACCATTTCACCGTAGCAACCGACACACAGAATATTCAATTCGTGTTCGATTCTTGCGCAGACGTTATCGTAAAAGGTTCCCTCGAATCCATCGGGATGTTCTGAAGACATGGGAGAATTGCATTGGTTCTCACTGGTTGTGTCGTGGATATGAAAGCATCTGTGACTTCTCTGCATTCCTGAAGTGGCCAAATGGTTCGTCTACATCAGTTATTTGATGCCCACTTTCTGTTGAATTTGTAGGGAATTGGAGTAGCAAAGTCTTCCTTATATGGGGAAAATAGACAGGGCCCCGTTGCATAAAACTTACTATTGATGGGAACTTTGCCATCAATGGTAACTACCACGGAAACCTTGATTTTGATTGGCTGTTGAGCCTTGTTACCATGGTAGTTGCCATTGATAGCAAAGTTACCACCAGTGGTAAGTTTTATGCAAAGGGGCCCTGGGATATATTGTCAATCGGGTCGTTTTGGGGTTTTCTCGAGGGGCTGGTGGATATTTCAGTTTTTTGTCGAAGGGCAAGTTAATCAAAAGTTGAGATATAAAGACAATTTAGGAAAACTTGGAACTGAAACGGTATAAGATACATGGGCGATCGTACCGATATTCCAGCTCGAATTCTATACCCTTCCCGTTCATATGGCAGATTTTTAAAGTTTTTAACATTTTCTATTAGGGCAGGAAATATATGAGGAAAAAGCAAAAACAAAGCATACTCGAGGAAACTTTATTACCAGTGGACTGCTTCGATCTGAAAATAAAATAAAAAGAGAAGAAGATGAAAGATCTTCATTGGAAAGGAATTATAAATGCTAAATCGACGAAGGCATCGATTTGTATATATCACTTAGCCTTAATGCGTTAATGCTTGGATTGCATCTGGATTTTATACTGCTTTTATACTGCTTTTTCTTACTAAAACATATCAGTGAATTTGAATAAAAAAGCAACTTGTTTCAGCTGGCGCAAAGTGGATAATGGGTCGCCTAGTTACTAGGGGCAACAGCTCTATACAGGAAGCCATTAGTGAAAATGTACTGATGAGCAAAATCTAAACTGAATGATTTTATTCAAATTGCAGTAACTAATTTGAAATCAGAGGAACTAAGCAAACTAGTTCAAAGAGACGAAGAATGTAAAGGTAGGTGTAACACCAAAGGATAGTAAGAAATCTTATGATGTTCGGAAACATGTATATTGGAATGAATGATGTAAAACTATATATTGATGATGTAACCATACAAGTCAATTTTTTTATTTTATTTAGGTTTTAATATAGATTGTAGCGGAAGCATCTTTGACTTTGTTATTGGTCGTTTCTTTATTGTTCCAATTCTCTCGTTGCTCCAAATGCTCCGTAAAAACTGCACAAATGAAAATAGATTGAACGGATCATAAATCAACTGTTCATGAATGCTTAGAGAAAACCTGGTGACTCTTATCAATAATATGCACCTTACAGCTAATTAACCCCTTGTTTTAACCTTTGTTTTAGCTCTTTTCCTGATCTCACACATTAACTTGTACTGCATATAAACTTAATACAATTATAACTGTTTGTTACTACCAGTACATGTATGCTTAACTGAACTAAGTCAGACTTCTGACGTACATCCTTTGCATTACTTCTGTTCATAATTACAGCATGTATCTTTATAACTAAACCATCTACTAATTATCAATATAAACTTGTATAAATCATATAACAACTTTCTCATATTATGCACCCCAAGTACTCATCTTTGTACATTAACTGAAAATAGGCAAATCTTTGTTTACATTCTTGCATGCGTGTACCTTTCAATCGCATGCCGTAGTGTACATTACATAACAATAACATTCTGTATGTGAGCCGACCGTCTCGGCTACTGTTCAATGTAAGTTACATCCATGTAATGTACACAACGAGTTAGGTGCGAATGAAAGGTACTTAATCATAGATTATCGCATCATTACAGCATTTATATACAACATTCATCACATTGCATCATTACATACCTTCATTCTGCCTTCTTAAGTGCATCTAACATCCATATTACACAAGGATGCCTCCAATATCAACAGATTTTATCCACTGGATATCAAAAAGGGTGCCATCTCTTCACACGAATTTAGTAGCCTCCAGATGGCGCTAAACATAAATATAATCAATCTACTTGATCGACTTAATAAATGAATTCATATCGATCACTGAAACATAGATGATGACACGAAATGGAAAATTTATGTCGCATAACATCAAACTCAATCTTTAGGAATATTAGCGTACTATTAGAAAAAGAGAGTTTATTCCTCGTAATATTCTATTGATGCTGTCTTCTTGACATCTTATTGAAATTACATGAATTGTTAGGATAACTACAAACTCCTTTTTTTTCCAAAGTCATTCTACGCCTCTATTTTAAGAAACTTAATATCGTCTACGTGAATAACTTCAATAACTACAATTAAGATATTTTTTTACATGTTTTTGGATGATGATATACTCTTACCCAAAGTATTCAACTCAATTTTCATAATAAATATAAATTTGCATGATAACAATACTGAAGAGAGATTTAAAAATCGAGGTAATTATGGTTGTACATCAATTTCTAGATCTTTAACAACATATAAGGAGCCCAATTTTTTTTATAATAATATACCTCAACACATCAAGAACAATAATTCTTTAAACTCTTTCAAACGTAAATAGAAAGAGTATTTATCGCTAAATGTATTAAATATTTAGTTATGAAAATATGAAGTGTTATGAAAAGTTTGAATATGGTTTTCAATTTAGAATTCTCTATGCCAATATGTTTTAACTGTCGTATCTGTTCTGCTCTTATGATGGATATTTTGTTGTTTGTATTAATGGGATCATGTTTACAGGTTATACTAAACTTGTAATGATCAAACCACATACACATTATTATTGTCTTCTTTGTATATTTGCTTGTACTATGTTCTTCTTCTTCTTCCGGTTAAGTACAAAACGCCGTTGGGGTATTATCATATTGTTATTGCTTTTACGTATATTTTGTCATGATTTATACACGATTCTAAAATGGAGATATGGAAATAAATAAAGTGTAACATTTTAAAAAGTTCCACGTTTTATCGACTTATTAAATCGTGATAAATCTCATGGACGTTGCTAGAGGGGGAGGGATAAAGTGACCTTCCAAGTCCATGATTTCTTTGGCAAATTTGTGTATTTAAGAATATTTTCATGCCTCCGCAACCGAAGAAAGTGCCGGAGACATTATGTCTTCTGGTTGTCCGTCCGTTCGTCCTTCCTGCTTTTCGTTACCGCGATAACTAGGGAGCCATTGAACGGATTCAAACTTAACTTGGATGAAAAGTGTATGAGCATGCACAAATGAACTGATTGGATGTTGGTGTAAGAGATCAGTGGTGACAGGGTCATGACCAGAAGTTAACTCTATACCTAGATAACTTGAAAAGCTTTCAAGCGATTCAAACCAAACTTGAATGAAGTGTGTATGAGTATGAAGGGAGGAACTAATTCGGATTTTGGATGTAAGAGGTCAACGGTGTCAGGGTTATTTTTACAGTCTTTAAAATGCCAGGGAAAGGAAAAGGGGCATTTATTGCAAAAGAAAAAAGGCACCTATCACATTAGAATAGAGGAACTTATCAGAGGTAAAAAGGAGCACTTAATAGAAAGAAAAAGGGACATTCATGGAAAAAAAGGGTCACTCATGAGAGGTGACAAGAGGCACTTATGGAAAGCAGGAAGGAGTACTTATAAAGAAACAGGGGTACTTATATGTAGTAGAAAGGGGCACTTTCTTACAAAAATAGAAAAAAATTGGGGTACTCGAAAAAATGGAGGGAGAGCCACCAATGCATTCACAACACAACCTCCCAGTTTACTTAAACACTGTTGTACTCGCCTAAATAGGAATTTCCATTTATGTGGCTCTCTACTTTTGACTCTGATTGTCGCTTTCTGCCGTTCCTTTTTTTTCTTTCACCTTTTTTCCAGATTAGGAACAACTGTCCCCTCAACTATAAATTTTCTTGCATTCTTTTCTCTGAAACTTCTTTTGGGTACAGCAGGTCCAGTAGACTGCGTTTACAACCCCCTCTCGTAGGCAGCTTATTAACGGTTTCAACGTGCACACGGGACCTCCATTTAACGTCTTATTCCAGGGACTGGGTGTTTCCAACTGAATTCAGAGCGACATTGAAAACTAAGATGAAACTGAAAAGACGTCCGACAAGCAACTTAAAAACGAAGAAAAATCTTGCGATATCTCATTACTGCTGCCGAGGCGGGATTCATGTAAACGTAACGTCAATATCCGGCGCGTGGTACTAGGCTAGGTCAAGACTATGTAACATTATATTCCATTTTTATCAATATTTTGATCATATTCATAATTGAGGTCACAGCACTTGTATTAGTTACACTCCTCTGAGGTAACCTTACACCATTGTTTATAAAGAAAAGGGTACTTTTAACTAGGCTTGTTAGGCCTTCATGATTATAAATCGAAAGTCAAGGTTGTTAAAGGATAATTCAATCTTTGTAATAGGTTTACTGGTATGAAAGTAGACAAATAAGAGTAACTGAATGGCAAAAATTTCATTAAAAAAAATATTTTTATCTTTTTATTTATAATCTTTTGACAGGGTAGCCCATTCACCAACAAGTAGTGGTCTTCCATGGGGCCCTGAATAAACATGAACATATTTACATCGTTTATAACGTTTATACAGAACAGTTACAAAAAAATAATACTCGTTTGAAAATAAACATATATCATTAACCTAGTAAACAGTAATGTCAATAGGAAACTATTGATTAAGTCGCTATTATGTGAATGAGTCATTTTAATATTACAGAACATGCACGTAGTGTATGTTCGACTGAGCCATTCACAAATTACAACTTTGTTTAAACAATCTCTTAAATAAATTGACAGAGGAAGCCGGTCTCATTATCTAGCTTATTCCATTCAAATACGGAAGAAACAATTGGGATACACTTATAACAATCAGGACTCGTAAATGATCAGACTTTGTGAATTCTTGAAATATGAGATCACTAAACCAATGTAAATTTAAAATTGTGAATTTGTTCAGTGGATTGAAAAAACAAACTTACGATATAATTTCAAATATTTTCATTTATTTTTGAAAAGCCATCCCTTCTATACAACTAATGCAGAGTGCTATGGGAATTGACGTAGAATAAGTTTGGAAAATCTTTGCACTTGCGTTGTTGAAAAAAATGTACGTACATGTAAGAATTAAATATATTGCCATATAATTGTAGAAAGGAGTTACCAGTCAAAAGAATAATTGTTTTGGATATATAGGCATATTTACTCGGTCATTTTCGTGAGGGATGGGGAGATATATACCTTACCCGAATCTCAACTTTCCATTTTCAAATGTTACGAGCGAGCAAAGCGAGGGACAAAATTGTAACCATTTAATACTGATATCATAAAAAGAACAAAAGCTGAATGAATACAGACAAATGTATTTCATTTGCAGCTAATTTTTTGTTAATATACATACTGCAGACCTAACATTTTTGTTTAATTAATTGCTTCACTGTTTGATGAATTGTCTAACTACTGAACGCCGTCATTTGAGACTGAATTCCAAGGTAAAATGTGCCACTCTGGATTATATTCAGACTTAAACAATATCTGAATTAATGATTGTGCATGGGATGGCTTGCGTTAAAAATGACTTTGAGTACATTTTTGTGTTTGTGCCTGAGGGTGTATGATTACGTTGAGTGCGTGGGCATTGTGTGTGATGCGCTTGTGATCGTATGTGTGTGAGAAGTTTGGCATGTGGGTGCGTGTGTGTAATTGTTTTTTTACAATCATGTATCGATCAGAATGATGTGACATACAACTGTATCAATAACCCAAACTTTGCATGACCTCACACTTCGAATTGATTTTACCCGTGCAAACGACCTGGATTATTTTGTCACGTTAATCCTAGTATGCGGAAGTCTACCGGAACTTATTTGATAGGGAGCTTGATAGCAATATAGATCAGGATATGGTTTACATTACAAGTGTTTATTAAGGACTGAAATATGACTGTCAATGCAATAATATACCGCCCGCGGATTGATAAAATGATCGTGTTTCAACATGCCGGAGGGGCGTTTAGATCCTTGATATCTCAACATCCCTCTTCACTGTTAAAAAAAAAAAAAAATAATAATAATAATGGAGAAATGCCAGATCATATAAGATTGTTATTGAAATAAATCCTGGCATGATAGGACTATCCTCGAACCCCCTATAAATCACGACCGCATTAAGCATAACGCATTTATTCCATACCTAACACTCCTCTCCGTTTTTATACTATCTTTTCCTTAGTTGTTACGGGCGTTCCAAACACAATCGTTTGCTTTCCGGGTTTTCGCCTCCAAATCAAAGCAAAATTTTATCCTTTTGATTCACCATCGGAAAGAAGAAAAACGGAGGCAAGGCGTTACTGAACTTGAGCTCTATAGGCAATACAGAAAGATACTGACATTGATCTTGAATTTATTTTAAAAAAAGTGTTTTTGACCCCTTTATCATAATGCCATATTTAAGCAAAACTATCATAATATGCAAATTATTAACCAACAAAATGTGTAAAATATCAAATTAGAAGCAAAGAAAATGAACAAGTTATTTGATGCCCACAGGCGGGGCAAAGGTGGGTTGGGGAAGTTCTAATAAATCCTCTTTTCTTTTTTGCAATTTCTTAATTTGTTTAGAAATATCATAGGCCCTATAATATACTGAATGTATGTTTAACATAAAAACATGTAATACAATAACGTATTATCATGGTGTAAAGTTTAGATAAGTTATACGCGAAATTGAAGATTTCGAGTGAAAGATGACACTTAACCTTTTCCTTTATTGTAGAGTTTTCGAGGGTTGAGCCTCGATTGTAAAATTCGGATAAATGGAATATCCATCACTTGGAATGGACACCTGGAAGTAGGATCGCAATTGGGGTGCCGAAGGAAGGAAAGACAACTATGGCGGGAGGGGGGGGGGGGGGGGGCGTAAAAGACAAGCGAAATTAAATACGCTTTTATTTAATGGAGCAGAAGTTCTATACCTTTACATACTTGTCTTTATTAATTTGAGACTTTCTAAAAAGTATCCGCTTCATAAAAAAATATCCATTATCAATACAATTCTTGAAAATATAATATAGCTCTCCCCGGAGAGTGAATGGAACATTCTGAAATTTTCGTATCAAGCCAATATTTAGAACAAAGATTTGCCAGCATACTCTCATTGTGTGGCTGGTGACTAGGAGAGACACCACTTCAACCTTCAGCTCAAGCGTCAACTTAATTAGACTGCGTCCATGAGTTACCAGGGCCTACAGATGAAGGCCTTTGTTGCCGTCTGTGCTCTCTGCTTCCTAGCCAGACAAACGACTGGTAAGAGAACCTAATTTCAAACCTTCCTGTTACGTATCATTGATTCATCAATTAATATTAAAATTATGAGAATGTTTTCAAATTCCAAGGATTTTCATTTTAACAGCAACTACATGACAAAGGTTTTGGCATAGCAGAGTATAAGAAATAATGTAACATATGGTCCAGGAGTTGAGGTAACTACTTGACATGCTCAGTTATGATAATATAGCCCGAATTGAGATAGCTTGCATTGTATGTTCATTAACCTTTTGAATTCTTTTTAATGATGAATTTTCACTTATTGATAGGTTAATAATTATTAGAAACCATTTCATTGGCTGACAAGCTATCACGTAACTCTCAACATTTACATAGAATTCGACGATATTTGTCACTGAAAGCGAAGAATAGGGTATGTTTCAGGACAGTAGGAATCCCACGGACATATTTAATGATACAGAAAAGCTAAGTGTTATCAACTTTCCCTCGGGAATGTTATTTCAATATTTTACTTACATACCATTCCTTTTGTAAAAAACTATGATTCATTTTGTAAGAAATATTATCTCCGTCCAAGAAGATAATATAATTTTGTTTTCAGCAACTAAGGAATATATTTCATTTCAAACTTTGCCATCCTTCCGAAAAAGAATACAAGTACTGTTATCATACAGCTTTTTACCCGGATCATTTTCCTTACTAGCTAATTTTGCCAGGGACATATAAGATATCAAGAGTCCCGGTATTGTTATTGTGTAGACAGTGCGTATAACAAAAGTGTACCCAAATTTGATAGCTCCTAATTAAACATAAAATCTAATAATGTCTGCTGTACCAAAGAGCAAACAAATCAATTCTTTGGTTGGAAACTAAATTCTCTTTTATTAGTTGAGTACTAGCTTCGATGGTTCTTGATATTATTGTTTTATGAATTACAATTTAGTTGGCGGCAACTTTGAAGTGGGCAACTCAAAACAATAGTATGCCAGTGTTTCATAAAAACATGTAAATTAACCATTGAGAATGATGTAATTAGTTTTTTATTCATTCCACCCACTCCTTTACCAGAAGGCAGTGGAGTAAGTTGGCTATTCCACAGTTGCTAACTAAAGATTTTAGTTGACTACAAGGGCCTAGTTGAAAACTCCATTAGTGAGGTTTTTATGAATATTGGCCCAGAAGGCACGCAATGGCTAGTTATAAACTAGATGAGTTAGTTGGATACTCCATTGGTGATAACTAGGTATTTTAGTTGAATACTAGGGTCTAGTCGCCAAATACCTTACCAAGGTTTGTGAATATTGGCCCAGGTTATTATTTTTTTTATCAAACAGAAGAACATGAACTTGCCTAATAATATTCGACAAATTATACAAATAGCGTTCAATACAACAAAATATAAGAACCGACAAGTGAGAATTTCCGAGTGATGTTATATTTCACAGAGGCTGCGGGCCGCGGTAGAAATATGATGGATGAGTGGAATTCTGCATTTGGAGGTGAATATATGGTATTGCATTGATTACGTGTTAATTGTGCCTGTTTTGTAATTCATGAATACACATTATATTTCGCACCATTGGATTTTCAAATAAATACTTTCAAAATGACGTGATGAATTAATGTCAAGATATCACAGTCGAGGAATTCATAGCAATTTCGAATTCACTCGTTCACGTATATCTTTCGGCCATTCCTGAATTAGGTTGTTCTGTTTTCAGGAATGGCCGAAAGTATAGCAGGAGCGGCGAATTCTTTGGTCATAACCGAGATGGGGCGGACATACACGAGGTAGCTGTTACCGTTCGGTGAATGGTCTGGCAGGGTACCCACCAATACCCCCTCTCTAGGAATAGGAATTCCATGTTGTAGAATAAAAACTTCACATTTAGCGACGCCATGCAGCATAGGTATATAGGCACTAGGAATTTCTATCATTTTTTGCGAGGTCAATATTTTATATTTTCAAATCAAAAAGAATTTTGTTATGGCCACAATGAGCCGCTTCCAGGCGCGGATCCAGGATTTTCCAATAGGGGGGGCCGGAAATTTGAAAATTGCGCAGACCATTTTTTCAACTCAACATACCAATACTGACAAGGTCATATTAGAAGCACGATACCAGTAGAATTTTTGACATTTTCATCGGGGGGGGGGGGGGGGGCTATAGCCTCTTGCCCGGAAAGTAATTTTCTGGTTTCACAATTCGAAATAATGAGCGAAGCGAGCGAGCAACAATAATTTGTGAAAGTGTTATTTATCACCAAAATAAACGAGAAAAGATATCGAAAACTCTTATTCGGGCAGCTCGCTGTCTCCCCCCCTCCATTACGCGCGAAGCGCGGAAGCTTTGAACCTTCATTAATTGTTACTAGAGAAGGAAGACGATTTGTTGTACCATTCTCGACTTTTAATCCTTGTCTGAATTCAGTTTCCTCCCGCCCGCGCGAAGCGCGGAAGCTTTGGCCTTTCATTAATTATTAGAGAAAGAAGAAGATTTGTTGTAACATTCTCGACTCTTATTACTTGACATTTTCGACCCTTAATCCTTCTCTGAACTAAGTTTCCCCCCCCCCTCCCGCGCGAAGCGCGGAAGCTTTGGCGTTTCATTAAATTATAAGGGAAAGGAGACGATTCTTTGTACTATTCTCGACTCTTTATCCTTGTCTGAATTCAGTTTTCCCCCGCCCGCGCGTAGCGCGTAAGCTTTGACGGTTTATTAAATTATTAGAGGAAGAAGACGAATCGTTGTACCATTCTCGTCTCTTAATTCTTGTTTGAATTCAATTTTCCCCCTCCCGCGCGAACCGCGGAAGCTTTGACGTTTCATTAATTATTAGAGAAAAGAAGAAGATTTGTTGTACCATCCTCGACTCTTATTACTTGACTGAATTCAGCCCCCCCCGCCTCCCGCGCGAAGCACGGAAACTTTGGCCTTTCATAGTTTAATGAAATTATTAGAGAAAGATGATTCGTTGTTCCATTTTCGACTCTTAATCCTTCTCTGAATTGAGTTCCCCCCCCCCTTCCGCGCGAACCGCGGAAGCTTTGACGTTTCATTAAATTATTAGAGAAAGAAGACGATTCTTTGTACCGTCCTCGACTCTTTATCCTTGTCTGAATTGAGTGCCCCCCCCCCCCCGCGCGAAGCGCGGAAGCTTTGACGTTTCATTAAATTATTAGAGAAAGAAGACGATTCGTAACTCTTAATCCTTGTCTGAATTGAGTTCCGCCCGCCCCCTCCCGCGCGAAGCGCGGAAGCTTTGTCGTTTCATTAAATTATAAGGGGAAAGGAAACGATTCTTTGTACCATTCTCGACTCTTAATCCTTGTCTGAATTCAGTTTTTCCCCGCCCGCGCGTAGCGCGTAAGCTTTGACGTTTCATTGAATTATTAGAGAAAGAAGATGATTCGTTGTTCCATTATCGACTCTAAATCCTTGGCTGAATTCAGTTTTTCCCCGCCCGCGCGTAGCGCGTAAACTTCTGACGTTTCATTAAATTATTAGACAAAGCAGACGATTCGTTTTACCATTCCTTGTCTGATTTCAGTTGTCCCCCTTCCGAGCCAAGCGCGGAAGCTTTGACATTACATATAATTATTAGAGAAAGAAGACGATTCGTTGTACCGTACTCGACTTGTCAGAATTCTTCTTCCTGCCCCAACCGCCCCTGGCTACGCGCCTGCTTTAAAGGGAAAATGAAACAATCATGATTGTGATAGCACACAATTAGGTTAGTAGAAATGAAAGGGAGAAAAGATCTATTACACTAACCATGGATAAATCACGGCCGGGAGCGTCATATCATAGTTTTGTGTTATCGGGCGAGGGCCGGGGCGTAGCAACCAAGCAAGATTTTGCAATGTTGAAATTATGCATTCTAGAAAATTCCGCTATATTTCTTTCTAGCTATATTTCTAAATTTCCTGAGGGACGTGTCTCCCTATCGGGCCCAGGATTGCCGCCCTGTCCATGATTACTACCAACATGAGTTCAAATACAAACACGAGCGAGTTGGTATGAGCTGAATTCAAATGAAGGGCAAAATAAGAGTAATGAAGCGGCCCAACCGTTAATTTAAAATTTGACTGTTGAGTATATAGCTTCTATTTAAAAGTTGGGCTTTCTTCTTTATCTTTTCTTTTCTCTTCTCTTCCTTTTTCTTTTCCCTTCTCCTTTCTTTTCTCTTCTCCTTTTTTTCTTCTCCTCTTCTCCTTTTTTTTCCTTTTCTTCCTCTTTTTTTCTTCCTTTTTTTGCGCCGCCAATAGGGGGGGGCCGCGGCCGTTTCGGCCCCCCTGGATCCGCCACTGGCTTCAACCCTCTCGGGATTACTCTCACGAATACGTCTAGTTTGTGATATTTCAGCGGGTCGACCCGACTGATTTGTATGGAAAAAAAGAATATTTTCTCCAAACAGATCAGTGGTCGACCCCAACAAAAATAACAATAATAATAATAATAAAAGTGTTACTTATAAAGCGCTTACCACCGAAGTCTCTAAGCGCTAAAAAAAAAAAATTGTCACTGCTGCCTGCTCGCGATCGTATATATGCGTACGTAAAAGCCTGCGTCTGTGGAGAAGATGAGCTGCAAGCGCCCCTCTCAAGTATGAAACTACCTATAATGCCATCCTTTTGTAAATGTTAGCCGGGTTGACAATAATAAAACATAGTCGAAACCAGAATCCTGATAATTCATTTATTTCAGCTACAACACGAACTTTATCTAGCCATGGCCTTAACATAACCGATAAACATGTTTTTTCCTTCTTCCAAGGGTGCCAGGAAATTCCTTGAATTTATGGTTAAATTATTTCCTGTTTAAAACATTCATCAATTCACATCCCCGTATCCAGATGTCATTAAAATACAATCTAAAATCAAAACACACGCATGGATTACTTCAAACAGTGTATACAATAAAATGAATGAAGAATATTGTGTGCCCTTATTCCTCAACCTTTGGATCCATTAATCAGTTCCGAATTTACAGGTGGCATTATGAGACCTGCCACCTGTCATAAGGGATGAAGAAAAGGGGCAGCAAGGGAAGAGAGAGAGAGAGAGAGCGAGAGAGAGGAAGAGAGGGGGGGGGGGGGAGATCGAGAGAGAGGGAGAAAGGAGAAAGGGGTAAGGGGCAACGTGGAAAGAAGACGATATGCCATCCGCCTCTTACTCGACGGGCAACCTAAAGCTAGTACACTTTGATTAAACCAACGAGGTACCAATACCTGAGTATTGGGATATGTGGGGAGGAACCTATTATGGATGTCTGCCGGGGTCGATTTGCTGCATGTTGATTAAAAAGGACTCCAAAATATGTTTTATTTTCTAGAGCTATTTTTTACATTGTACCCGTATTATCCAGCGGATCGACCTTGAAGTGGTCTCTAGGAGACATGTCACTCGATCTTTGTTAATTAATATGTATGCTAATTAATTACCCTGCGAGTCTCCAAGTGCGGAAGCCTTTCTTAGCTTTTATCAATAAGTTTCCTGTAAGGTGTATGGTATCTGCCAGAAAACAATGGGCTAACTATCATAGTACAAAATATTTTGAAAAGATTGCTGTGAAATTTTTCGAACCCCGATTCTGTATTTTCTAAATTCATAATATCTTTGATCTTAATGTACAGGAACGCCTGCCTGTAAGCTTGATCCTACAGGGGTCAACTACAGAGGGAACGTATCTCAGACGTTATCTGGTCGCACCTGTCAACAATGGACCTCGCAGTACCCCCACGATCACACCAGGACCCCCTCTGAATACCCCAATACAGGGCTTGGAGGACACAACTATTGCAGAAACCCAGACAATGTCTTCACTGCTTGGTGCTATACCACTGACCCTGAGGTTAGATGGGAGTATTGTGCTGTAGGTGACTTTGACCCAGAGTGTACCATCACTCCCCTAGCTGGAGGTTAGTTTATGAATAATGTCTTTAATCTTGAATTAGATGCACCCAGAAAGCTTCCTAAAGTTGCCAGGGTGTCCAGGTCGGAATTATAGTTCTTGTAAATTTGATTGTTTTGACCAGCATTTTCTTGTAAGCAAATGTTAAGAAAAGCAAAGTTTTACCCCCGACTTTAAGCATCCATATAGTTATAATTAAGAGCCATTCAGAGGATGACATTAATTGACAATTACGTACTGCGTTCACTTGGTCCAAGCCATAGACAGTCAAAGACTACATTTCTACCCACTGAGCTATAGACGTATTTTCTTGATTGATTGGCAAACCGGACTAGCTGGCGACCAAAGTAAGTTAGCTATAATGAAGCATAGGTAATTACAGCTATGTTAAGGTTAGAAAATAAGAGGGCGATATGTTTAGCTAGTTGATGGGAGTTATATGTGATAATCATGATGCTGGCAAACTGTAGCAGGCCGAAAGATCAGTTGGATCCCCGGCCTCAATAAAACAAAACATTCCTAGATACTAAAATAGATGACATAGTCATTATTGTGATTAAGATGCGATGCTAAAATGCGTGAATGAAGATCGAATGCTACATAATTGGGTTCCATGGATTTTTCTAAAAAAGACGAAATGATCAAAAGTGAAGTCAGTAGACTGTTGTATAGCATCATCAAATTATAATGTCTTCTGATTGACCGGTGCGCCCTTTTACCCCTGTTCCACTTCACCCCTCCCATGTTGCCGATTTTACATTTGCTGTTTGTTTTCTAATCCCTAAACATGATTTTGATAGGACTATCAGAGTGCTACCTGTTATCAAACGCAACTGACTACAGGGGAAATATATCGGTGTCCCGCAATGGCCATACATGTCAGCAGTGGAGCGTCCAGACACCTCATGAGCACAACTACGCCCCTTCTGACTACCCCAATGATGGTCTTGGTGACCACAATCTCTGCAGGAATCCAGGGGGAAGTGGTGACAAGGTTTGGTGCTATACGACTTCCCCTACTCGCTGGGAGTTCTGCAACATCGGAGTGCCCCGTGAAAATTGCAACGAGGAAACAACTACTGCAGAAACAACAAGTGTTCCTACTCCTCCGACTCCTGAAACAGGTAAGACATATATACAAGTAAAGGTAATCTTGCAGGTGGAGATCAGCTTTGAATATGCTAACTTAACCCTGATCTATTCCCATGTTATTTGATATACTTATATAGAACGGTGATTTCTTTTTATAATGATATCGCATCATGCAGAGATTCCAACTCTCCCACTCTTGACGGAATTACAGTACAAATCAGATTTTTATCCTTATATACTCATCCCCTTATATACGTGAAAAGAGAGTAGGGGTGTAGGTAAACGGCCTTGCATAAGAATATACATTTGTTTCACAAGATTTCATACTAGGTATTCAACCTGTGAGGTTTACAGGTCCAGTCAACGCTTAATTTACTTGACACCTCTAAACTGATCACCCTAAATGTTAGCAATATCGAGGAAAGTCCCATGATGAGAACTTTGAGAAATTTAGAAATAAAATGCCTGGATATAATTTTTGTCTTCTTCATTTTGAAAGCTACCACCACAGGATCTCCAGAGTGCCAGCAGGACCCATCAGGGGCCACCTACAGAGGGGAGGTGTCTCACACGGTTTCTGGACGTACCTGTCAGAAGTGGACCCTCCAAGCACCCCATGAGCACAACAGGACACCGGAGGAGTACCCTAACAGCGGGCTGGGAGACCACAACTATTGCAGAAATGTGGGGGCTTCCTCCTTCACTGCATGGTGCTACACCACCGATTCAGACGAGCGATGGGAGTACTGCCCTGTCGGCACCTATGAGCCCGAATGCATGGCACATACAACATTGAGTGAGTTTCAAAAGTCGCAAATATATTATTCACTCTAAAGGCTCGCTCACTTATTACGCGCAGTAAACCTAACAGGCAGGTTTGAAAAATGAATATGTGGGTGTGAGAACAAAAGGCCTCTGAGCATATTCAAGCAGTAAATGTTTATCCGTGTTATAAGATAAAGGAGTGTAAAGCACACCTCACTTGTGCTATTGGTAAGTTAATTTACTGCATAATATGGAAACAAAGCTAAATGAGCTATTCCAACCCATTTATAATGATAAATGGGTTTATGACACTACAATTAAACAAGCTAATGTCTTGTTTGATTTCACCATTTCCAATCTTAGGCCCAAGTGACTGCTACACCGATCCCTATGCAACGGACTACCGTGGGACCATCAACGTGACTCGCAGGGGTTATACGTGCCAGGCCTGGACTTCTCAGTATCCCCATGAGCACAGCAGGACCCCATTAGAGTACCCGAATACTGGTATCGGGGAGCACAACTACTGCCGTAACCCTGACACCTCAGACATGGCCTGGTGCTATACAACTGATTCCAACGTCAGATGGGAGTACTGCAGTATTGGAATCCCCCAAGAGGTACATGATGATTATATTATCTTCATTTGTTCCATGAATTATTAAATTAGCAGGCACGGAGTTTGTACAGAATGATTTATAATTCAAGTTCAAGTTCAAGTTCATTTATTCAAAACCACACAAAACATGATATAATCTTTTACATGAAAAAGAGACTGGTAATAGTTCATCATTAAGTGAATGGTTTTAGGACCCCTGTAGAAGCTAAGCTTGTGAGCGGGGCCCTATAGTCAACAAAATACATACATTAACGATATGGCAAGGTGATTAAAAAGAATGTAATGTTTATACAAGGGATGGAAACAAACTAAGCTACAGAATATAGAACACAAAAAATATGCACACACACGCGCGCACCATCACACACACACACACACACACACACAGTCCTTAGTGGTCTATAAGCAAATTGAGAATGAGAAATTATTAAGATACAAAGTAGAATTATGTCAGTCTTCCAAGTAGGTACGTTTTAGATAACCTTCTAAACCTAGAAAGAGTTGTACTATATTTTATATCATCAGGCAAACTATTCCATTCTTTGATGCAAGAGATATGGAAAGAGGTCAGAGTGATATTTGTTCTTGCAAAAGGCTGATGAATGAGACCCCTTTGACGTGTATTATAATTATGAATGTGTGAGTTTTTACGGAATAAATCTTTTAACGTACATTCATAAGGCATAAACTGAAGTTTATACATAAACAATACGCAATTGATTGACACAAGTCCACTTAGTGGTAACATTCTTAATCGAAGGAACAATGGAGAACTTGGATGTCTATAATTAGAATTAGTAATAAGCCTTATTGCCTTCTTCTGCAATACTCTTAACTTATCAAGATATGACTTAAAAGTGTTTCCCCAAGCAACATTACAATATGTCAAATAAGGAAGAATAATACTATTATATAATGTTATCAGCACTCTTTCAGGTAAAATAAATTTCAATCTAAAAATGACACCTACACTTCGAGACAACTTAGTGCATACAACATCTAAATGATTCTTCCAAGATAAATGTTCATCCACATTTAACCCTAAGAACTGAACATTTTCACTAAGCGCAACATCATGGCCTCCAACATTAAGAAAATTAATACCATCTGGAAGCTTTTTACCCTTTGAGCGAAAAATAACACATTTGGTCTTTTGAACATTCAACAATAACTTATTACAACAATACCATGCATACAGTTTCTGAATCTCTTGATTTGCAATTAGTAATAAATCTTCAGCCTTCTTATCAACCAGCAGCAAGCTGGTATCATCAGCAAACAGGGAGTATGAGAATAATGTTGACGAGTGTATTATATCATTTATATAAATTAAAAACAACAGGGGACCAAGAACAGAACCCTGAGGTACACCATATTTAATAGAAGCAAGTTGGGAACTACTACCATCCACCACAACAAATTGAGTCCTGTCAAACAAATAGCTTTGGAACCAAGACAATGCTACACCACGTATTCCATAATGCTCTAGTTTCCTGAGGAGGATACCATGGTCAATGGTATTAAACGCCTTAGATGCATTATTTGAGGAGCTTTTTTAGGAGATCAACTTTGGGGTTTTGCAATTCTGTCAAATAATGTTTCCATTTAAAGCATAGAGTGAAATGAAAGATAATACATGTATTATGTATACATATATATATAATACATGACACTATAATATTTACAACCTGTTTGTAAAACGTAGGATAATTTGTTCATTTTTATTCTCCTTTTGGTGCACCCTTCTTTAAGGTACCGAACCTTAAAGAAGGGACGGTGCACCCAGAGGAGACTGTACCGACACCCTTCAACTCTTAGGATACCACAAAAATAATCTCCCTGTGCCACTTTGTATTTATCATGTACCCAATGTTTAACTATTATATGACTGTTTCTAGTGCAAGATTAAAATTCGGTATTTAAAAGGGTTGTCATGGAGCTAATAAAGACTCGGAATGGGTCATATTTCAAAGCCATGTGTTTCGGCAAGCAATCCTACCACAAATTTCTGCCGATTGCTTTGAGCAAAATTGCATGAATGGCGAATGAGTGACCATCCAAAGAGGTAAGCAAATTGTGCAAACTCTGTTCTGCCAATAGCAATGTGAAGAAGAACAGACTACACCCTCCCTCTCACCAACCAGTATGACAGACATTGTCCGTCTGAGCAAGGGTCCTAATTCTTGGACCGGACGTGTTGAGATCAACATCGACGGCGAATGGGGAACTATCTGCGATGACCTTTGGGGTCTGGATGAAGCCAGCACTGTGTGCAGGATGCTTGGGTACCGATAGGGCGCCATACGGGCCAGCGTAAGGGCAGAATTTGGGTCCGGCTTGCCTACGGTACCAATCTGGCTTGACAATGTTGATTGCTTGGTCCCTTGGGATAACATCCTTGAGTGTCAACATGATGACATTGGAGTACACAACTGTCAGCATTCTGAGGATGCCGGTGTTGAGTGCAAGCCAAACGAAGGTGCGTATGTAAGCATGTCCACAACACAGTCCGGCAGCGATTTCAAATACTGCCATCATGCATATCTTGCCATCATATTTCTGTTTCCCAGTATCTATAGCCAAATATATAGAACCTAAGAGCCACGCCTTTGATGTACGCCATGTCCCTCTTAGAACATGAATCATGCAGTATGTCACAGCTCAGTAAGGTTGCCCACACTCACAGTCTCTTGCGCATATTTGCCGTGCATCTCCAAGTATGCCGTGCACCCCTAGGGCATCGCCCCAGACTTCCTCAGTGGCAGTTATTGGACATCTTCTTCTTCTTCTTGAAAACCCATGGCTGGATTTTAAACCAAACTGTGTAGGAATCATCTGCATGAAAGGAAGATCTAAAGTTGTTCAAATGTGGTATATGCCCATCAGACAATTATAATGTAATACAAATAGTAGTAGTAGTAGTAGTAGTAGTAGTAAAAGTAGTAGTAGTAGTAGTAGTAGTAGCAGATCATTTGGGTCTCTCTCATATCCTTTCATATGCAGAAGCTGTTGAGACTACTATCTCATCAATCACAGCCTCAAACACAGCCTCCGAGCAGATGACACAGGTATACTCAAATGGTGAGAGTTATGAACATGATAACATCCTGATTGACTTTGCATGATATATATCATTATTATTATGATCATTATTATTAATATTGTAGTAGTAGTTGTAGGAGCAGAAATAGAAGTAGTAATAATAGAAACAGTAATAATAATAATAGTAGTAGTAACTTAGTAATAGTAATAGTAATAGTAGTAGTAGAAGTATAAGAAGTAGTATTAGTTATAGTAGTAGAAGTAGTAATAGTAATATTAGGAGTAGTAGGAGTAGTAACAGTAAAAGTGGTAGTAGTAATAGTAGTAGAAATATTAGTAGTTATAGTAGTAGAAATGTAAGTAGTAATAGTAGAAGTAGTAGTAGTAGTAGTAATAATACAAGTAGTAATAGTAGTAGTAGTAGTAGTAGAAGTAGTAGCAAAAGTAGTAATAGATCATTTGGGTCTTTGAAACGTTCATAGCCTCTTTTATATCCCTTCATATGCAGAAGCTTTTGAGACTACTATCTCATCTATCACAGCCTCAAACACAGCCTCCTCCGAGCAGATGGTACAGGTACACTCAAATGGTAAGAGTTATAAACATATGTTATCATCTTGATTGAATTTGCATGATATCATTTATATAGCATCATAATCAGGCGCGCCGGAAGCAGTTTGGGATGGGGGGGGGGGGGGCAAACATTCCACGGGGCTCACCTTCCAGGCGCAGTGACGTAATGAGCAAAAACGTTTGGAAGGGGGGGGGGCAGAAGAAAAATCTGCATCACCTCCACTCTTACACGTTACATGCATGCCCCGCCGAACGTTTCTCAAAGTGTTGTATTAAAGATCAGGTAGAGCGTAAATTGGCGTGTGGTCCAGGGCCTGAGCCCCGGAAGGAGGTCAAGGGGCTGAGCCCCCAGAAGCTCAGGGTTTTAGGCATTCAATTACGGTCATATAAGCATATTTAGACACCTTATTTGTGACACTGGCAGGCCACTATTTGGCGGAGAGTCCAGGGAGCAGAGCCCCCGGAAGCTCAGGTGTTTTAGGTATTTAATTACGGTCAGATGAGCATCCAGGGCCCCGCCTTAAGGCCCCTCGGTGGGGTCCAGTGGGCAGAGCCCCCGGAAGCTCGGGGTTTTAGGTATTTAATTACGGTCAGATGAGCATCCAGGGGGCAGAGCCCCCGGAAGCTCAGAGGTTTTAATATTAAACTGTGGTCATATGAGCATCCAGGGGCCGCCTTAGGGCCATAGGTGGGGTCCAGGGGGCAAAGCCCCCGGAAGCTCAGGGGTTTTAGGTATTTAATTACGGTCAGATGAGCATCCAGGGCCCCGTCTTAGGGCCCTTGGTGGGATCCGGGGCGGAGCCCCCGTTACCTCTGGGGTTTTAGGCATTTAATTACGGTCACATGAGTATCAAGGGGGCAGAGCCCCCGGACGCTCGGGTTTTTTTTTCTTCCTCTCTTTTTTTCTTTTTCTCTGTAACAAACTTTGTTTAAAAGTGAGGGGGTTCGAGCCCCCGAGCCCGGTCGTTCTGCAGACCCTGACATAAAGGCTTCTAAAAAAGCATATTTTTCGCCCGACTGTAAATTTTGGGGAATTCTAATTTTCGAACAAACGCATAAAAAGGTATGACTTACCAACAAATTGAGAAAAATACCGGAAAATCATGTCATTTCAGCAAAATTTGTAAATCACTGGTATCGAATAAGAAATAACCCCCCCCCCATTAGTACGCAAGCGTTCAGGGGCTCATGTCTTCTCACTCCTATAACAAAACAAAAACAGACACGCTTTTCCATTCTCTCACAATATGTCCATGATATGTGCGTATCGCTTTTATAAAAACCTTATAGGTGGCATGCGCAATGTTTAGGAAATTTAATTCCTGTTAACTTTTCTTTGAATGGAATTTTATATGTCATTTAATTCAGGTTTTTATTATTATGTTCTTTTGGGGTTAAAAATACAAACCATCTTTACTCCTTTACTGCTTTTTTTTTTTTTTCCTCAGTGGAGTGTAAAATTGCATTAATTTTAATCTTGTGGTATGTATATATGAATATTAACACCCATAGTGTTCAATGAGAAAAATAGGAAAAAAAGTGTAGCTATTCTGTACAGCTTGTCAAGTAGCAAATGTACCCTCTTATCATGAAGAATGCTTGATTATAATCCCTTCAATAACGTACAAACATGTTGAATTATATTGCAAGGAGGTAATTTCACTCTTCAAGATGGAGACAGTCTGTACATCTCTTCCCCCAACTACCCTGCCAACTACGATTCCAACACCGATGTTCTATGGGTCATCAACATGCCGGAGGATTGCTCTCTGGTTCTGAGTCTCCTCAGCTTTAACACTGAGGACTATTTGGACCAGCTGACCGTAAGCAGTGAATCAGAAGCTGATCAGTCGGTTGTGGTAATGAGCAGATTTTCAAGTCGTCTGGGGCCGTATAACAGAACTTATGCTCCGTCAACGTTAATGCGAATCCAATTCAGAACTGATAGAACTCTAGAACTTTCAGGATTTTATGCAAAATTAAGAGCTTCTTGCAGTGCAGGTAAGCAAATTAAGCTTTGATATTATCATTATTATAATTATCAATATTGATATTCTTATTTTGTTGTTGTAATTGTTAACATGATGATGATTATTATTATTATTGTTGTTATTGTAGAAGTAATCGTAGTACTAATGGACGTAGGGCCAGTAGTTGTAGTAGTAGTAGTAGTAATAGTAGTAGTTGTAGTAGTAATAGTAGTAGTAGTAGTAATAGTAGTAGTAGTAGTAGTAAATCATTAGGGTCTTTGAAACTTCTATAGCCTCTTTCATATCCCTTCATATGCAGAATCTGTTGAGACTACTATCTCATCTATCACAGCCTCAAACACAGCCTCCTCCGAGCAGATGACACAGGTACACTTAAATGGTAAGAGTTATGAACATGTTATCATTTTGATTGACTTTGCATAATCAAATTAATTGAATACACGTATAGGACCTTTGTTGTTTGTAGGCCTAGATGCTATTCATTTAAATATAAAGTGACAGTTTTTTTCGTAGCTGTTTACCGCCTCATATCCTAGCAAGCCTTTCTTCAAGCAATTGCTAGATATCAACTTTCAAGTATTGACTTTTTATTTGGAAAGGTTTATTGTTTTATTGTTAGATTAGGTATGAAATATATCCCATGCGAATACCCTTCACAATGAGGTTACTTGCTTCTGTTTCACTAGAAAGTAGCGATTTTTTAGTCTCAACTCAAACTTTGAGTGTCGAAGGAAAGGAGTTTAATTTAGTAGGGACAGCATTTGTATTTATGAACACCAAAATTGGACAAAGTACAATTTTATGCTATTAAAATCTTGAAATGTTTGTATCTAATACAGTGATCTCAATTTTCAAAAATGATTAACTTTCTTGATGTTTGCTTAGTTTCTTTCAAACATTTCTTATAAGATGCTCTGGTTTATGGGTACGTCTCATACTTCATTTTCTCAGGTGCGTTATCTGTCTATCTAAGTAGCAAATGTACCCTCTTATCATGAAGAATGCTTGATTATAATCCCTTCAATAACGTACAAACATGTTGAATTATATTGCAAGGAGGTAATTTCGCTCTTCAAGACGGAGACAGTCTGTACATCTCTTCTCCCAACTACCCTGCCTACTACGATTCCAACACCAATGTTCTATGGGTCATCACCATGCCGGAGGATTGCTCTCTGGTTCTGAGTGTCCTCAGCTTTTTCACTGAGAACTCATATGACCAGCTGACCGTAAGCAGTGAATCAGGAGCTGATCAGTCGGTTATGCTAATTGACAGATTTACAAGTCATCTGGCGCAATTCAACAGAACTTATGCTCCGTCAACGTTAATGCGAATCCGATTCAGAAGTGATAGAACTCTAGAACTTTCAGGATTTGAGGCAGAATTAAGAGCTTCTTGCAGTGCAGGTAAGCAAATTGAGCTTTGATATTATCATTGTTATTATTATCAATATTGATATTCTTATTTTGTTGTTGTAATTGTTAACATGATGATTATTATTGTTATTATTGTTGTTATTGTAGAAGTAATCGTAGTACTAATGGACGTAGGGCCAGTAGTTGTAGTAGTAGTAGTAGTAGTAGTTATATTAGTAGTTGTAGTAGTTATAGTAGTAGTAGTAGTAGTAGTAGTAGTAGTAGTAGTAGTAAATCATTAGGGTCTTTGAAACTTCTATAGCCTCTTTCATATCCCTTCATATGCAGAATCTGTTGAGACTACTTTCTCATCTATCACAGCCTCAAACACAGCCTCCTCCGCGCAGCTAACACAGGTACACTCAAATGGTAAGAGCTATTAACATGTTATCATTTTGATTGAGTTTGCATGATATCATTTATAAATTAATTATCATTATTATTATTATTATTATTATTATTATTATTATTATTATTATTATTATTATGATAGTAGTTGTAGTATTAATAGTAGGTAGTAGAGGTAAAAGTAGTATTACTAGTAGAAGTAGTAGGAGTAGTAATATGAGTATACGTAGTAAAAGGAGTAGTAGTAACAGTTGCAGTAATAGTTGTATCAGTAGTAGTATCAGTATTAGAAGGAATAGTAATTGTAGCAGTAGTAGTAATAATAGTAGTAAAGTAGTAGACCAAATATTAGTAGTTATAGTAGTAGAAATCTAAGTAGTAATAGTAGAAGTAGTAGTAGTAATAATACAAGCAGTAATAGTAGTAGTAGTAGTAGAAGTAGTAGCAAAAGTAGTAATAGATCATTTTGGTCTTTGAAACGTTCATAGCCTCTTTTATATCCCTTCATATGCAGAAGCTGTTGAGACTACTATCTCATATATCACAGCCTCAAACACAGCCTCTTCCGAGCAGATGGTACAGGTACACTCAAATGGTAAGAGTTATGAACATTAACATCTTGATTGAATTTGCATGATATCATTTATATAGCATCATAATCAGGCGCGCGGAAGCAGTTTGGGATTGGGGGGGGGGGGCAAACATTCCAGGGGGGCTCACCTTCCAGGGGCAGTGACGTAATGAGCAAAAACTTTTGGAAGGGGGGGGGCAGAAGAAAAATCTGCATCACCACCACTCTTACACGTTACATGCATGCCCCGCCGAACGTTTCTCAAAGTGTAGTATTAAAGATCAGGTAGAGCGTAAATTGGCCTGTGGTCCAGGGCCTGAGCGCTGGAAGGAGGTCAAGGGGCTGAGCCCCCAGAAGCTCAGGGTTTTAGGCATTCAATTACGGTCATATAAGTATATTTAGACACCTTATTTGTGACACTGGCAGGCCACTATTTGGCGGAGAGTCCAGGGAGCAGAGCCCCCGGAAGCTCAGGTGTTTTAGGTATTTAATTACGGTCAGATGAGCATCCAGGGCCGCCTTAGGGCCCTGGGTGGGGTCCAGGGGGCAAAGCCCCCGGAAGCTCAGGGGTTTTAGGTATATAATTACGGTCAGATGAGCATCCAGGGCCCCGTCTTAGGGCCCTTGGTGGGATCCGGGGCGGAGCCCCCGTTACCTCTGGGGTTTAGGCATTTAATTACGGTCACATGAGTATCCAGGGGGCAGAGCCCCCGGAAGCTCGGTTTTTTTTTCTTCCTCTCTTTCTTTCTTTTTCTCTGTAACAAACTTTTTCAAAAGTGAGGGGGTTCGAGCCCCCGAGCCCGGCCGTTCTGCAGACCCTGACATAAAGGCTTCTAAACAAGCATATTTTTCGCCCGACTGTAAATTTGGGAATTTCTAATTTTCCAACAAACGCATAAAAAGGTATGACTTACCAAAAAATTGAGAAAAACACAGGAAAATCATGTCATGTCAGCAAAATTTGTAAATCACTGGTATCGAATAAGAAATACCCCCCCCCCATCAGTACGCAAGCGTTCAGGGGCTCATGTCTTCTCACTCCTATAACAAAAAAATACAGACACGCTTTTCCATTCTCTCACAATATGTCCATGATATGCGCGTATCGCTTTTATAAAAACCTTCATTGATAAATATAGGTGGCATGCGCAATGTTTATGAAATTTAATTCCTGTTAACTTTACTTTGAATGGAATTTATATGTCATTTAATTCAGGTTTTTATTATTATGTTCTTTTGGGGTTAAAAATACAAACCATCTTTACTCCTTTACTGCTTTTTTTTCTTCTTTTTTTTTGAGGGTGGGGGGGGGGGGGGGGTTTTTTTTTTTTTTTTTTTTTTTTTTTTGGTGGGGGGGGGGGGGGGCAACTGCCTTCCCCTGCCCCCCCCCCCCCACTTCCGGCGCCTATGATCATAATCAAATTTCTTTGAGCGGATTACAAGCACAGGCCAAAGCTGAACCTTTAGGTAAACTCCTCAGTGGAGTGTAAAATTGCATTAATTTTAATCTTGTGGTATGTATATATGAATATTAACACCCAAGGGCCCGAATTCACAAAGCAAGGTTTGAGCTCAGACCAAGGTTTGAGCTCAAACCTTGGTCTGAGCTCAAACCTTGCTTTGTGAATTCGGGCCATAGTGTTCAATGAGAAAAATAGGAAAAAAGTGTGGCTATTCTGTACAGGTTGTCAAGAATAGCTCTAAGTAGCAAATGTACCCTCTTATTATGAAGAATGCTTGATTATAATCCCTTCAATAACGTACAAACATGTTGAATTATATTTCAAGGAGGTAATTTCACTCTTCAAGATGAAGACAGTCTGTACATCTCTTCCCCCAACTACCCTGCCAACTACGATTCCAACACCGATGTTCTATGGGTCATCAACATGCCGGAGGATTGCTCTCTGGTTCTGAGTCTCCTCAGCTTTAACACTGAGGACTATTTGGACCAGCTGACCGTAAGCAGTGAATCAGAAGCTGATCAGTCGGTTGTGGTAATGAGCAGATTTTCAAGTCGTCTGGGGCCGTATAACAGAACTTATGCTCCGTCAACGTTAATGCGAATCCAATTCAGAACTGATAGAACTCTAGAACTTTCAGGATTTTATGCAAAATTAAGAGCTTCTTGCAGTGCAGGTAAGCAAATTGAGCTTTGATATTATCATTGTTATTATTATCAATATTGATATTCTTATTTTGTTGTTGTAATTGTTAACATGATGATTATTTTTATTATTATAGTTGTTATTGTAGAAGTAATCGTAGTACTAATGGACGTAGGGCCAGTAGTTGTAGTAGTAGTAGTAGTAGTAGTAATAGTAGTAGTTGTAGTAGTAATAGTAGTAGTAGTAGTAGTAGTAGTAGTAGTAGTAAATCATTAGGGTCTTCGAAACTTCTATAGCCTCTTTCATATCCCTTCATATGCAGAATCTGTTGAGACTACTGTCCCATCTATCACAGCCTCAAACACAGCCTCCTCCGAGCAGATGACACAGGTACACTCAAATGGTAAGAGTTATGAACATGTTATCATTTTGATTGACTTTGCATAATCAAATTAATTGAATACACGTATAGGACCTTTGTTGTTTGTAGGCCTAGATGCTATTCATTTAAATATAAAGTGACAGTTTTTTCGTAGCTGTTTACCGCCTCATATCCTAGCAAGCCTTTCTTCAAGCAATTGCTAGATATCAACTTTCAAGTATTGACTTTTTATTTGGAAAGGTTTATTGTTTTATTGTTAGATTAGGTATGAAATATATCCCATGCGAATACCCTTCACAATGAGGTTACTTGCTTCTGTTTCACTAGAAAGTAGCGATTTTTTAGTCTCAACTCAAACTTTGAGTGTCGAAGGAAAGGAGTTTAATTTAGTAGGGACAGCATTTGTATTTATGAACACCAAAATTGGACAAAGTACAATTTTATGCTATTAAAATCTTGAAATGTTTGTTTCTAATACAGTGATCTCAATTTTCAAGAATGATTAACTTTCTTGATGTTTGCCTAGTTTCTTTCAAACATTTCTTATAAGATGCTCTGGTTTATGGGTACGTCTCATACTTCATTTACTCAGGTGCGTTATCTGTCTATCTAAGTAGCTAATGTACCCTCTTATCATGAAGAATGCTTGATTATAATCCCTTCAATAACGTACAAACATGTTGAATTATATTGCAAGGAGGTAATTTCGCTCTTCAAGACGGAGACAGTCTGTACATCTCTTCTCCCAACTACCCTGCCAACTACGATTCCAACACCAATGTTCTATGGGTCATCACCATGCCGGAGGATTGCTCTCTGGTTCTGAGTGTCCTCAGCTTTTTCACTGAGAACTCATATGACGCGCTGACCATAAGCAGTGAATCAGGAGCTGATCAGTCGGTTATGCTAATTGACAGATTTACAAGTCATCTGGCACCGTTCAACAGAACTTATGCTCCGTCAACGTTAATGCGAATCCGATTCAGAACTGATAGAAGTCTAGAACTTTCAGGATTTTATGCAAAATTAAGAGCTTCTTGCAGTGCAGGTAAGCAAATTGAGCTTTGATATTATCATTGTTATTATTATTAATATTGATATTCTTATTTTGTTGTTGTAATTGTTAGCGTGATGATTATTATTGTTATTATTGTTGTTATTGTAGAAGTAATCGTAGTACTAATGGACGTAGGGCCAGTAGTTGTAGTAGTAGTAGTAGTAGTAGTAATAGTAGTAGTTGTAGTAGTTATAATAGTAGTAGTAGAAGTAGTAGTAGTAAATCATTGGGGTCTTTGAAACTTCTATAGCCTCTTTCATTTCCCTTCATATGCAGAATCTGTTGAGACTACTATCTCATCTATCACAGCCTCAAACACAGCCTCCTCCGAGCAGCTAACACAGGTACACTCAAATGGTAAGAGCTATTAACATGTTATCATTTTGATTGACTTTGCATGATATCATTTTAAAATAAATTATCATTATTATTATTTTTATTATTATTATTATTATTAAAATAGTAGTTGTAGTATTAATAGTAGTTAGTAGAAGTAAAAGTAGTATTACTAGTAGAAGTAGTAGGAGTAGTAATATGAGTATAAGTAGTAAAAGGAGTAGTAGTAACAGTTGCAGTAATAGTTGTATCAGTAGTAGTATCAGTATTAGAAGTAATAGTAATTGTAGCAGAAGTAGTAATAATAGTAGTAAATTAGTAGAAGAAATAGTTGCAGTAATAGTTGTATCAGTAGTAGTAGAAGTTGTAGTAGTAGTAGTAGTAGTAGTAGAAGTAACAAACGAAGTAGAAGGAGTAGTAATAGTATAAGAAGTAGTAGTAGAAGAAGTAGTAGTAGTAGTAGTAATAGTAGTAGTTGTAGTAGTAGCAGTAGTAGTAGTAGTAGTAGCAGATCATTTTGGGTCTCTCTCATATCCTTTCATATGCAGAAGCTGGTGAGACTACTATCCCATCTATCACAGCCTCAAACACAGCCTCTTCCGAGCAGATTGTACAGGTACACTCACGGGGTAAGAGCTATTAACATGTTATCACCTTGATTGACTTTGCATAATCAAATTAATTGAATACACGTATAGGACCTTTGTTGTTTGTAGGCCTAGATGCTATTCATTTAAATATAAAGTGACAGTTTTTTTTCGTAGCTGTTTACCGCCTCATATCCTAGCAAGCCTTTCTTCAAGCAATTGCTAAATATCAACTTTCAAGTATTGACTTTTTATTTGGAAAAGGTTTATTGTTTTATTGTTAGATTAGGTATGAAATATATCCCATGTGAATACCCTTCACAATGAGGTTACTTGCTTCTGTTTCACTAGAAAGTAGCGATTTTTTAGTCTCAACTCAAACTTTGAGTGTCGAAGAAAAGGAGTTTAATTTAGTAGGGACAGCATTTGTATTTATGAACACCAAAATTGGACAAAGTACATTTTTATGCTATTAAATTCTTGAAATTTTTGTATCTAATACAGTGATCTCAATTTTCAAAAATGATTAACTTTCTTGATATTTGCCTAGTTTCTTTCAAACATTTCTTATAAGATGCTCTGGTTTATGGGTACGTCTCATACTTCATTTACTCAGGTGCGTTATCTGTCTATCTAAGTAGCTAATGTACCCTCTTATCATGAAGAATGCTTGATTATAATCCCTTCAATAACGTACAAACATGTTGAATTATATTGCAAGGAGGTAATTTCGCTCTTCAAGACGGAGACAGTCTGTACATCTCTTCTCCCAACTACCCTGCCAACTACGATTCCAACGCCAATGTTCTATGGGTCATCACCATGCCGGAGGATTGCTCTCTGGTTCTGAGTGTCCTCAGCTTTTTCACTGAGAACTCATATGACCAGCTGACCGTAAGCAGTGAATCAGGAGCTGATCAGTCCGTTATGCTAATTGACAGATTTACAAGTCATCTGGCGCAATTCAACAGAACTTATGCTCCGTCAACGTTAATGCGAATCCGATTCAGAAGTGGTAGAACTCTAGAACTTTCAGGATTTGAGGCAGAATTAAGAGTTTCTTGCAGTGTAGGTAAGCGAATTGAGCTTTGATATTATCATTGTTATTATTATCAATATTGATATTCTTATTTTGTTGTTGTAATTGTTAACATGATGATTATTATTGTTATTATTGTTGTTATTGTAGAAGTAATCGTAGTACTAATGGACGTAGGGCCAGTAGTTGTAGTAGTAGTAGTAGTAGTTATATTAGTAGTTGTAGTAGTTATAGTAGTAGTAGTAGTAGTAGTAGTAGTAGTAGTAGTAGTATTAGTAGTAAATCATTAGGGTGTTTGAAACTTCTATAGCCTCTTTCATATCCCTTCATATGCAGAAGCTGTTGAGACTACTTTCTCATCTATCACAGCCTCAAACACAGCCTCCTCCGAGCAGCTAACACAGGTACACTCAAATGGTAAGAGCTATTAACATGTTATCATTTTGATTGACTTTGCATGATATCATTTATAAATAAATTATCATTATTATTATTATTATTATTATTATTATTATTATTATTATTATTATTATTATTATTATTATTATTATTATGATAGTAGTTGTAGTATTAATAGTAGGTAGTAGAGGTAAAAGTAGTATTACTAGTAGAAGTAGTAGGAGTAGTAATATGAGTATAAGTAGTAAAAGGAGTAGTAGTAACAGTTGCAGTAATAGTTGTATCAGTAGTAGTATCAGTATTAGAAGTAATAGTAATTGTAGCAGTAGTAGTAATAATAGTAGTAAAGTAGTAGACGAAATATTAGTAGTTATAGTAGTAGAAATCTAAGTAGTAATAGTAGAAGTAGTAGTAGTAGTAATAATACAAGCAGTAATAGTAGTAGTAGTAGTAGAAGTAGTAGCAAAAGTAGTAATAGATCATTTTGGTCTTTGAAACGTTCATAGCCTCTTTTATATCCCTTCATATGCAGAAGCTGTTGAGACTACTATCTCATATATCACAGCCTCAAACACAGCCTCTTCCGAGCAGATGGTACAGGTACACTCAAATGGTAAGAGTTATGAACATTAACATCTTGATTGAATTTGCATGATATCATTTATATAGCATCATAATCAGGCGCGCCGGAAGCAGTTTGGGATTGGGGGGGGGGGGGGGGGGGCAAACATTCCAGGGGGGCTCACCTTCCAGGGGCAGTGACGTAATGAGCAAAAACCTTTGGAAGGGGGGGGGGGCAGAAGAAAAATCTGCATCACCACCACTCTTACACGTTACATGCATGCCCCGCCGAACGTTTCTCAAAGTGTAGTATTAAAGATCAGGTAAAGCGTAAATTGGCGTGTGGTCCAGGACCTGAGCCCTGGAAGGAGGTCAAGGGGCTGAGCCCCCAGAAGCTCAGGGTTTTAGGCATTCAATTACGGTCATATAAGTATATTTAGACACCTTATTTGTGACACTGGCAGGCCACTATTTGGCGGAGAGTCCAGGGAGCAGAGCCCCCGGAAGCTCAGGTGTTTTAGGTATTTAATTACGGTCAGATGAGCATCCAGGGCCGCCTTAGGGCCCTTGGTGGGGTCCAGGGGGCAAAGCCCCCGGAAGCTCAGGGGTTTTAGGTATATAATTACGGTCAGATGAGCATCCAGGGCCCCGTCTTAGGGCCCTTGGTGGGATCCGGGGCGGAGCCCCCGTTACCTCTGGGGTTTTGGCATTTAATTACGGTCACATGAGTATCCAGGGGGCAGAGCCCCCGGAAGCTCGGGTTTTTTTCTTCCTCTCTTTCTTTCTTTTTCTCTGTAACAAACTTTTTCAGAAGTGAGGGGGTTCGAGCCCCCGAGCCCGGCCGTTCTGCAGACCCTGACATACAGGCTTCTAAACAAGCATATTTTTCGCCCGACTGTAAATTTGGGAAATTCTAATTTTCCAACAAACGCATAAAAAGGTATGACTTACCAACAAATTGAGAAAAATACCGGAAAATCATGTCATTTCAGCAAAATTTGTAAATCACTGGTATCGAATAAGAAATAACCCCCCCATTAGTACGCAAGCGTTCAGGGGCTCATGTCTTCTCACTCTTATAACAAAAAAATACAGACACGCTTTTCCATTCTCTCACAATATGTCCATGATATGCGCGTATCGCTTTTATAAAAACCTTCATTGATAAATATAGGTGGCATGCGCAATGTTTATGAAATTTAATTCCTGTTAACTTTACTTTGAATGGAATTTATATGTCATTTAATTCAGGTTTTTATTATTATGTTCTTTTGGGGTTAAAAATACAAACCATCTTTACTCCTTTACTGCTTTTTTTTTTTTTTTTTTTTTTTTGAGGGTGGGGGGGGGGGGGGGGGGGTGTTTTTTTTTTTTTTTTTTTTTTTTTTAGAAGGGGGGGGGGGCAACTGCCTTCCCCTGCCCCCCCCCCCCCCCACTTCCGGCGCCTATGATCATAATCAAATTTCTTTGAGCGGATTACAAGCACAGGCCAAAGCTGAACCTTTAGGTAAACTCCTCAGTGGAGTGTAAAATTGCATTAATTTTAATCTTGTGGTATGTATATATGAATATTAACACCCAAGGGCCCGAATTCACAAAGCAAGGTTTGAGCTCAGACCAAGGTTTGAGGTCAAACCTCCTTTTGTTTCGCCAAACCTCCTTTTGTTATAAACCAAAAGGAGGTTTGGCGAAACAAAAGGAGGTTTGAGCTCAAACCTTGGTCTGAGCTCAAACCTTGCTTTGTGATTTCGGGCCATAGTGTTCAATGAGAAAAATAGGAAAAAAGTGTGGCTATTCTGTACAGGTTGTCAAGAATAGCTCTAAGTAGCAAATGTACCCTCTTATTATGAAGAATGCTTGATTATAATCCCTTCAATAACGTACAAACATGTTGAATTATATTTCAAGGAGGTAATTTCACTCTTCAAGATGGAGACAGTCTGTACATCTCTTCCCCCAACTACCCTGCCAACTACGATTCCAACACCGATGTTCTATGGGTCATCAACATGCCGGAGGATTGCTCTCTGGTTCTGAGTCTCCTCAGCTTTAACACTGAGGACTATTTGGACCAGCTGACCGTAAGCAGTGAATCAGAAGCTGATCAGTCGGTTGTGGTAATGAGCAGATTTTCAAGTCGTCTGGGGCCGTATAACAGAACTTATGCTCCGTCAACGTTAATGCGAATCCAATTCAGAACTGATAGAACTCTAGAACTTTCAGGATTTTATGCAAAATTAAGAGCTTCTTGCAGTGCAGGTAAGCAAATTGAGCTTTGATATTATCATTGTTATTATGGTAGAAGTAATCGTAGTACTAATGGACGTAGGGCCAGTAGTTGTAGTAGTAGTAGTAGTAGTAGTAATAGTAGTAGTAGTAGTAGTAATAGTAGTAGTAGTAGTAGTAGTAAATCATTAGGGTCTTTGAAACTTCTATAGTCTCTTTCATATCCCTTCATATGCAGAATCTGTTGAGACTACTATCCCATCTATCACAGCCTCAAACACAGCCTCCTCCGAGCAGATGACACAGGTACACTCAAATGGTGAGAGTTATGAACATGTTATCATTTTGATTGACTTTGCATAATCAAATTAATTGAATACACGTATAGGACCTTTGTTGTTTGTAGGCCTAGATGCTATTCATTTAAATATAAAGTGACAGTTTTTTCGTAGCTGTTTACCGCCTCATATCCTAGCAAGCCTTTCTTCAAGCAATTGCTAAATATCAACTTTCAAGTATTGACTTTTTATTTGGAAAGGTTTATTGTTTTATTGTTAGATTAGGTATGAAATATATCCCATGTGAATACCCTTCACAATGAGGTTACTTGCTTCTGTTTCACTAGAAAGTAGCGATTTTTTAGTCTCAACTCAAACTTTGAGTGTCGAAGGATAGGAGTTTAATTTAGTAGGGACAGCATTTGTATTTATGAACACCAAAATTGGACAAAGTACAATTTTATGCTATTAAAATCTTGAAATGTTTGTATCTAATACAGTGATCTCAATTTTCAAGAATGATTAACTTTCTTGATGTTTGCTTAGTTTCTTTCAAACATTTCTTATAAGTTGCTCTGGTACTTATAAGTTGTTCATGGGTACGTCTCATACTTCATTTACTCAGGTGCGTTATCTGTCTATCTAAGTAGCAAATGTACCCTCTTATCATGAAGAATGCTTGATTATAATCCCTTCAATAACGTATAAACATGTTGAATTATATTGCAAGGAGGTAATTTCGCTCTTCAAGACGGAGACAGTCTGTACATTTCTTCTCCCAACTACCCTGCCAACTACGATTCCAACGCTAATGTTCTATGGGTCATCACCATGCCGGAGGACTGCTCTCTGGTTCTGAGTGTCCTCAGCTTTTTCACTGAGAACTCATATGACCAGCTGACCGTAAGCAGTGAATCAGGAGCTGATCAGTCGGTTATGCTAAATGACAGATTTACAAGTCATCTGGCGCAATTCAACAAAACTTATGCTCCGTCAACGTTAATGCGAATCCGATTCAGAACTGATAGAACTCTAGAACTTTCAGGATTTTATGCAAAATTAAGAGCTTCTTGCAGTGCAGGTAAGCAAATTGAGCTTTGATATTATCATTGTTATTATTATCAATATTGATATTCTTATTTTGTTGTTGTAATTGTTAGCATGATGATTATTATTGTTATTATTGTTGTTATTGTGGAAGTAATCGTAGTACTAATGGACGTAGGGCCAGTAGTGGTAGTAGTAGTAGTAGTAATATATGTAGTTGTAGTAGTAGTAGTAGTAGCAGCAGATCATTTTGGGTCTCTCTCATATCCTATCATATGCAGAATCTGTTGAGACTACTATCCCATCTATCACAGCCTCAAACACAGCCTCCTCCGAGCAGATGGTACAGGTACACTCAAATGGTAAGAGCTATTAACATGTTATCATCTTGATTGACTTTGCATAATCAAATTAATTGAATACACGTATAGGACCTTTGTTGTTTGTATGCCTAGATGCTATTCATTTAAATATAAAGTGACAGTTTTTTTCGTAGCTGTTTACCGCGTCATATCCTAGCAAGCCTTTCTTGAAGAAAAATCTGCATCATCACCACGCTTACACGTTACATGCATGCCCCGCCGAACGTTTCTCAAAGTTGAGGATTAAAGATCAGGTAGAGCGTAAATTGGCGTGTGGTCCAGGGCCTGAGCCCCGGAAGGAGGTCAAGGCACTGAGCCCCCAGAAGCTCAGGGTTTTTAAGGCATTCAATTACGGTCATATAAGCATATTTAGACACCTTATTTGTGACACTGGCAGGCCACTAATTGGCGGAGAGTCCAGGGAGCAGAGCCCCCGGAAGCTCAGGTGTTTTAGGTATTTAATTACGGTAAGTTGAGCATCCACGGCCTCGCCCTAGGGCCCTTGGTGGGGTCCAGGGGGCAAAGCCCCCGGAAGCTCAGGGGTTTTAGGTATTTATTTACTGTCAGATGAGCATCCAGGGGCTGCCTTAGGGCCCTTAGTGGGGTCCAGGGGGCAAAGCCCCCGGAAGCTCAGGGGTTTTAGGTATTTATTTACTGTCAGATGAGCATCCAGGGGCCGCCTTAGGGCCCTTAGTGGGGTCCAGGGGGCAAAGCTCCGGAAGTTCAGGGGTTTTAGGTATTTATTTATGGTCAGATGAGCATCTAGGACCCCGTCCTAGGGCCCTTGGTGGGGTCCGGGGAGGAGCCCCCGTTACCTCTGGGGTTTTAGGCATTTAATTACGGTCACATGAGCATCCAGGGGGCAGAGCTTCGGAAGCTCCGGTTTTTTTCACTCTCTTTCTTTCTTTTTCTCTGTAACAAACTTTTTCAAAAGTGAGGGGGTTCGAGCCCCCGAGCCCGGCCGTTCTGCAGACCCTGACATAAAGGCTTCTAAATAAGCATATTTTTCGCCCGACTGTAAATTTGGAAAATTCTAATCTTCCAACAAACGCATAAAAAGGTATGACTTACCAAAAAATTGAGAAAAATACCGGAAAATCATGTCATTTCAGCAACATTTGTAAATCACTGGTATCGAATAAGAAATAACCCACCCCCCCCCCATCAGTACGCCAGCGTTCAGGGGCTCATGTCTTCTCACCCCTTTTACAAAAAAATACAGACACGCTTTTCCATTCTCTCACAATATGTCCATAATATGCGCGTATCGCAATTATAAAAACCTCCATTGATAAATGTAGGTGGCATGCGCAATGTTTAGGAAATTTAATTCCTGTTAACTTTTCTTTGAATGGAATTTTATATGTCATTTAATTCAGGTTTTTATTATTATTTTCTTTTTGGGTTAAAAATACAAACCATCTTTACTCCTTTACTGCTTTTTGTTTTTTTTTGAGGGGGGGGGGGGCGTTTTTTTTTCCCCTTTTTTTTTGGGGGGGGGGGGGGGGTGGGGGGGGGAGGGCAAAAATGCGTTTTGCCCCCCCCCCATTTTTTGGTAGGGGGGGGGGGGCAACTGCCCCCCCCCTGCCCCCCACCCACTTCCGGCGCCTATGATCATAATCAAATTTATTTGAGCGGATTACAAGCACAGGCCAAAGCTAAAAATTTAGGTAAACTCCTCAGTGGAGTGTAAAATTTTATTAATTTCAATCTTGTGGTATGTATATATGAATATTAACACCCATAGTGTTCAATGAGAAAAATAGGAAAAAAGTGTAGCTATTCTGAACAGGTTGTCAAGAATAGCTCTAAGTAGCAAACGTACCCTCTTATCATGAAGAATGCTCGATTTTAATCCCTTCAATAACGTACAAACATGTTGAATTATATTTTAAGGAGGTAATTTCGCTCTTCAAGACGGAGACAGTCTGTACATCTCTTCCCCCAACTACCCTGCGAACTACGATTCCAACGCCAGAGTTCTATGGGTCATCAACATGCCGGAGGATTGCTCTCTGGTTCTGAGTGTCCTCAGCTTTTTCACTGAGTACTTATATGACGCGCTGACCGTAAGCAGTGAATCAGGAGTTGATCAGTCGGTTATGCTAATTGACAGATTTACAAGTCATCTGGCGCCGTTCAACAGAACTTATGCTCCGTCAACGTTAATGCGAATCCGATTCAGAACTGATAGAACTCTAGAACTTTCAGGATTTTATGCAAAATTAAGAGCTTCTTGCAGGGCAGGTAACCAAATTGAGCTTTGATATTATCATTGTTATTATTATCAATATTGATATTCTTATTTTGTTGTTGTAATTGTTAACATGATGATTATTATTGTTATTATTGTTGTTATTGTAGTACTAATCGTAGTACTAATGGACGTAGGGCCAGTTGTTGTAGTAGTAGTAGTAGTAGTAGTAATATTAGTAGTTGTAGTAGTAATAGTAGTAGTAGTAGTAGTAGTAGTAAATAATTAGCGTCTTTGAAACTTCTATAGCCTCTTTTATATCCCTTCATATGCAGAATCTGTTGAGACTACTATCTCATCTATAACAGCCTCAAACACAGCCTCCTCCGAGCAGCTAACACAGGTACACTCAAATGGTAAGAGCTATTAACATGTTATCATTTTGATTGACTTTGCATGATATCCTTTATTAATAAATTATTATTATTATTATTATTATTATTATTATTATTATTATTATTATGATAGTAGTTGTAGTATTAATAGTAGTTAGTAGAAGTAAAAGTAGTATTACTAGTAGAAGTAGTAGGAGTAGTAATATGAGTATAAGTAGTAAAAGGAGTAGTAGTAACAGTTGCAGTAATAGTTGTATCAGTAGTAGTATCAGTATTAGAAGTTATAGTAATTGTAGCAGTAGTAGTAATAATAGTATTAAAATAGTAGAAGAAATAGTTGCAGTAATAGTTGTATCAGTAGTAGTAGTAGTTGTTGTAGTAGTAGTAGTATTAGTAGTAGTAAACGAAGTAGAAGGAGTAGTAATATTAGTATAAGTAGTAGTAGAAGAAGAAGTAGTAGTAGTAGTAGTAATAATAGTAGTAAATAAGTAGAAGAAATAGTTGCAGTAATAGTTGTATCAGTAGTAGTAGAAGTTGTAGTAGTAGTAGTAGAAGTTACAAACGAAGTAGAAGGAGTAGTAATAGTATAAGAAGTAGTAGTAGAAGAAGTAGTAGTAGTAGTAATAGTAGTAGTTGTAGTAGTAGCAGTAGTAGTAGTAGTAGTAGTAGCAGATCATTTTGGGTCTCTCTTATATCCTTTCATATGCAGAAGCTGGTGAGACTGCTATCCCATCTATCACAGCCTCAAACACAGCCTCTTCCGAGCAGATGGTACAGGTACACTCACGGGGTAAGAGCTATTAACATGTTATCATCTTGATTGACTTTGCATAATCAAATTAATTGAATACACGTATAGGACCTTTGTTGTTTGTAGGCCTAGATGCTATTCATTTAAATATAAAGTGACAGTTTTTTTCGTAGCTGTTTACCGCCTCATATCCTGGCAAGCCTTTCTTCAAGCAATTGCTAAATATCAACTTTCAAGTATTGACTTTTTTTTATTTGGAAAAGGTTTATTGTTTTATTGTTAGATTAGGTATGAAACATATCCCATGTGAATACCCTTCACAATTAGGTTAATTGCTTCTGTTTCACTAGAAAGGTAGCGATTTTTTAGTCTCAACTCAAACTTTGAGTGTCGAAGAAAAGGAGTTTAATTTAGTAGGGACAACATTTGTATTTATGAACACCAAAATTGGACAAAGTACATTTTTATGCTATTAAAATCTTGAAATTTTTGTATCTAATACAGTGATCTCAATTTTCAAAAATGATTAACTTTCTTGATGTTTGCCTAGTTTCTTTCAAACATTTCTAATAAGTTGCTCTGGTTCATGGGTACGTCTCATACTTCATTTACTCAGGTGCGTTATCTGTTTATCTAAGTAGCAAATGTACCCTCTTATCATGAAGAATGCTCGATTTTAATCCCTTCAATAACGTATAAACATGTTGAATTATATTTTAAGGAGGTAATTTCGCTCTTCAAGACGGAGACAGTCTGTACATCTCTTCTCCCAACTACCCTGCCAACTACAATTCCAACGCCAGAGTTCTATGGGTCATCACCATGCCGGAGGATTGCTCTCTGGTTCTGAGTGTCCTCAGCTTTTTCACTGAGAACTCATATGACCAGCTGACCGTAAGCAGCGAATCAGGAGCTGATCAGTCGGTTATGCTAATTGACAGATTTACAAGTCATCTGGCGCCGTTCAACAGAACTTATGCTCCGTCAACGTTAATGCGAATCCGATTCAGAACTGATAGAACTCTAGAACTTTCAGGATTTTATGCAAAATTAAGAGCTTCTTGCAGTGCAGGTAAGCAAATTGAGCTCTGGTATAATCATTGTTATTATTATAAATATTGATATTCTTAATTTGTTGTTGTAATTTTTTAACATGATGATTATTATTGTTATTATTGTTGTTATTGTAGAAGTAATCGTAGTACTAATGGACGTAGGGCCAGTAGTTGTAGTAGTAGTATTAATAGTAGTAGTTGTAGTAGTTATAATAGTAGTAGTAGAAGTAGTAGTAGTAGTAAATCATTAGGGTCTTTGAAACTTCTATAGCCTCTTTCATTTCCCTTCATATGCAGAATCTGTTGAGACTACTATCTCATCTATCACAGCCTCAAACACAGCCTCCTCCGAGCAGCTAACACAGGTACACTCAAATGGTAAGAGCTATTAACATGTTATCATTTTGATTGACTTTGCATGATATCATTTATAAATAAATTATCATTATTATTATTATTATTATTATTATTAAAATAGTAGTTGTAGTATTAATAGTAGTTAGTAGAAGTAAAAGTAGTATTACTAGTAGAAGTAGTGGGAGTAGTAATATGAGTATAAGTAGTAAAAGGAGTAGTAGTATCAGTTGCAGTAATAGTTGTATCAGTAGTAGTAGAAGTTGTAGTAGTAGTAGTAGAAGTAACAAACGAAGTAGAAGGAGTAGTAATAGTATAAGAAGTAGTAGTAGAAGAAGTAGTAGTAGTAGTAGTAATAGTAGTAGTTGTAGTAGTAGCAGTAGTAGTAGTAGTAGCAGATCGTTTTGGGTCTCTCTCATATCCTTTCATATGCAGAAGCTGGTGAGACTACTATCCCATCTATCACAGCCTCAAATACAGCCTTTTCCGAGCAGATGGTACAGGTACACTCACGGGGTAAGAGCTATTAACATGTTATCATCTTGATTGACTTTGCATAATCAAATTAATTGAATACACGTATAGGACCTTTGTTGTTTGTAGGCCTAGATGCTATTCATTTAAATATAAAGTGACAGTTTTTTCGTAGCTGTTTACCGCGTCATATCCTAGCAAGCCTTTCTTCAAGCAATTGCTAAACATCAACTTTCAAGTATTGACTTTTTTTTATTTGGAAAAGGTTTATTGTTTTATTGTTAGATTAGGTATGAAATATATCCCATGTGAATACCCTTCACAATTAGGTTACTTGCTTCTGTTTCACTAGAAAGGTAGCGATTTTTTAGTCTCAACTCAAACTTTGAGTGTCGAAGAAAAGGAGTTTAATTTAGTAGGGACAGCATTTGTATTTATGAACACCAAATTTGGACAAAGTACAATTTTATGCTATTAAAATCTTGAAATTTTTGTATCTAATACAGTGATCTCAATTTTCAAAAATGATTAACTTTCTTGATGTTTGCTTAGTTTCTTTCAAACATTTCTTATAAGTTGCTCTGGTTCATGGGTACGTCTCATACTTCATTTACTCAGGTGCGTTATCTGTCTATCTAAGTAGCAAATGTACCCACTTATTATGAAGAATGCTTGATTATAATCCCTTCAATAACGTACAAACATGTTGAATTATATTTTAAGGAGGTAATTTCGCTCTTCAAGACGAAGACAGTCTGTACATCTCTTCTCCCAACTACCCTGCCAACTACAATTCCAACGCCAATGTTCTATGGGTCATCACCATGCCGGAGGATTGCTCTCTGGTTCTGAGTGTCCTCAGCTTTTTCACTGAGAACTCATATGACCAGCTGACCGTAAGCAGTGAATCAGGAGCTGATCAGTCGGTTATGCTAATTAACAGATTTACAAGTCATCTGGCGCCGTTCATCAGAACTTATGCTCCGTCAACGTTAATGCGAATCCGATTCAGAACTGATAGTTCTGTAGTGTATCAAGGATTTGAGGCAGAATTAAGAGCTTCTTGCAGTGCAGGTAAGCAAAATTGAGCTTCAATTCTTTCATCGTATTATTACCATTGTTCTTATTATCAATATTGTTATTTGAATGATTATTATTATTATTATTAATTTGTTAAGAGGTCAACTGTTATGAAATTTCAGGGTTTTAGCCTTAACATCATGATATGTCAATCACTTAAGGTATAAACTGTAAACTAAATGGTAGCATGCATCACGACAGTGACATGAAATGAGTTAGATTTTTGGATGTCTGGTCAAAAGTGAAGGTCGGAAAAAGATCAACTGACATAAAAGTTACAGGCTGTTATAAAAATTGTATTAATTCAACCCATGATTTTAACTGAGTTTATTAATAAAGGGCGTGATCAACACATACGGGAACCTATAATGTGACAGTGGAAGCTCGTGGTCATAAATACTTCAATTGTAAAATTTATTTTTGTATCCCCTTGACATATGCGTGCTCCTGTACCTCATTTCAGAATATCATCAATTTATCTATTTTGTACAGAAACAACAACTGCAAGCCAGACTACAAGACAGACTACACAAGATTATAATGGTAAGAGTTGATGTGAGTTTATTCGAAAGAATCTTCCTTCTGGTAATTACTCACAACTTCTACACAGAATTTTGAAATTTTGCCTAAAACATCGATTGTGATAGTTTATGCAAATTTATTCAAAATCCATATACCCTATAAATTTATTCGAAATATATACATATATATATATATATATATATATATATATATACATATGCATTTTTATCCCTTATTTATAAACTATTTGTCTTGTCTGATAGGGCATAACAGGGTATTTAAAAGTTCTAAACAGAATTACAAATTTAATCGTTAACGTTAAATATGGTTCGTTGGATCAACAAAACTTCTACTCGATATTTGATATTTAATATTTTAGTTTGCCTCAATCATAATTTTGAAAACTTCTACAGATTTATTCAATATTTCAAAAAATCCTTCTTCTTCCTCTTTTCCCAACCAATTTAGCAGAGAAAAGTACATTGTGACACTTTATCAAGTCATTGTTTAAATGCACAGAGGGCTACTTGTTCACATCATTATAAAATAATCGTCTTATTACATCTTTATCTTATAAATATTTCAAAACGTCAAGAGAGTACTCTATGGATCGTTACACACACAGATGGAGCAATCACGTTTGCATCTCACGGGTCAAAGGTCAGCATCTCCTCTACAAATTACCCTGCAGCATATCCACCTTATATGGACAAGGTGTCATAATTTATTGTCTATTAAAGTAATATAAGAATGACTATTCCATGATCTTACTGATGGTCAGAACCATCTATACCAGAGCTTGGCCAACCCGGTTCGAGTTGGACACAATATGGCGATTACTGCTTTAATTTGTTGGGCAAGCACAAAACATTACAATATACGCCATGTTGTGACCCAGTGAAACCAAGTTGGCCAAACTCTGTGTATAGGTGGCTCTGCTGATGGTAATACAAGTATTCCTCAAACACTAGTTTACCCAACTCATATATTTCCTTTTTTATTCAATATATCTTTCCTGTATTTATCAACAGATATGACTAGTGAAGCACCATGGACCATTGGTGGGAATGTGGATTCTACAGGTATGATGATGATTGATTGTGCAATGTGCCATGGAGACATCAGTGTCAAAATCACCTTTTGAACTCTATTTTCTTTTCTAGGAACTGACTTTCATCTCATTCTTATTATTTCAAGAACTGTGTTAAGGTATCTGAACTGATTAGAATGTAGGTGTAATTAAGAGATGAAATGCGAATGATCACAGGATCTTTAAAAATGTTGAAATCACAGAAAAATATCCCGTTTCTGCGAATACAAAAATGATCCAATGTCAACCAAACTGAGCTAAAAAAAATTAAGGAATCATCACAAGATTAAACGAAAAAATAGTTTGGGTTTCAGAGCTAGGTAACAGGATGCTTGGTTGATGAACGTACATGTAGGTAGAGGCTTATTAGAGACAAAGTCGCATTCCGTGATCCTGTTCAAACTGCTTTGTAATCGCTGTTTCAGGTGGACCTATCGCTCTTAGGGAGGGACAGGACTACTTTATTGGATCCTCTAGCTTTCCAAGCAACTACCCAAGCAATGCAACCATTCTGTGGCAAGTGACAACCTCGGACCGTTGCGCCATCCATATCACTTTCATGGCCTTCAGCACCGAGCCCATATATGACTACTTGGTTGTGGGGTCGCAGGACGTAACACCCAAGAACATGGTCCATCGATGGACAGGAGGGGAGGTTCCTGCACCCCTCCATTTGAACTCCAACCAGGCATGGTTTCTCTTCATGTCAGACTCTGAGACGGAAGAGCAGGGGTTTGTGGCGAAGCTACATGCTATGTGTTCAAACTCAACAGGTGATTTATATAATCTTTTGAATTTTTGCCATATCTAATAAAGTGATTTATTTAATCTTTTGACTTTTTGCCATATCTAATAAAGACTTGTGAGAGAATTAATTGTAAGTCCCCCTGTCAATTGCCTTAGTCATCTGTACAACGTTGTCATTGATATAAATGTTATAAATGATTTAGATCAATCCCAGCTCCTATATAAGACAGGGTCCTGATTTAACTTTAGGTTCCAACATACATGAGATACAGCGATATTATTGCCAGCAAACGTAATATGGAAGTACTAGATATAGCATAATTATGGTCTGAAAATAGACCATTTATTTTCCTTGAAGTTACCACTAAGAACACTAGCTGTGACAGTTCACTATTAGCGTATTGATCAGTTTCTTTTAAATGTGACCAGGAACAAACAATCAAGAAATATTTTAAAGTGCACATGTAAACCAGAAAGAGTGCCTTGCCAACTTTCCTCTCCATGCATGCAGCCTCTATAGAGGATGTGCGTCTGGTTGATGGCAATGTACCACAAGAGGGCAGGCTTGAAGTCCTTTACCAAGGCCAATGGGGAACTGTTTGTGAGGACCTGTGGGAGAGGACGAATGCTGAGGTTGTGTGCAGGATGCTAGGGTACGAGGGAGCCGACTTGGAGTACTCGACCACCGACTTGTGGTGGCTCATCAAAGGCTCAGGACCTATCTTGATGGATAATGTACGTTGCCAAGGCAACGAGTCTAGTCTTGATGAGTGCAGCCATCTTGGATTGGGTGTCCACAACTGCGACCACTCCAAAGATGTGGGTGTGACCTGCAGAACAGGATCAGAAGGTATGTAGACATCCTGGTGTTCTATTTGCTAGAGATGAATGTGACTGCATCTCTCATATGCCTAAGCCAGTATATATGTTTATGGATCCTGTGCCCCTCAGCATCTGACCTCCCAAACCCCACTATTTTTTAAATTAATATATTCATGCTCATATCTAACTGTACTTGGGCCAATTTGGTCAACTTTGGTTCAGGTTTTGCCAAGTTATCACAATATAAATATATTTCTGGCATTTTTAAACACTTTTATGATCCTGTGACTTTTGACTTCTCTCACCCAAAATCTGTTCATCCTTGCATACTCATTCACAATTCATCAAAGTTTGGCTTGAATTGGTTTAGTACTTTTTAGGTAATCGTGGTAACAAGCTATTTTGACCCTTAATACCTTTCACCTCATACACCTGGAATCTAATCAGTCTATCCTTGCATACTCATGCATACCGGATCCAAGTTCGGTTAAAATCCATTCAATGACGGTACTCGAGTTATCACGATAACGAACTATTTTCTGGTAGTTTTTAACACTTGATTACCTTTACCTTTGACCTTTTATACCCAGAATCTATTCACTTCATTCTTTGCATGCTAATACATACTTGTTCCAAGTTTGGTTAAAATCCTTTCGATCAACGTTTCTTGAATTATCGAGTAACAAAACGCATGACGGACTGATGGACGGGCAACATAAAAACATAATGCCCCCTGCACCACCTTTTGTTGCAGAGGCATAATCATCTTTTACTCTTGCGTAAATATTCAAATGCACATCAATTGTCTAGGGCTACACCTTGTTCTAGGAAAATTCTCCATGGAATGTTTAAATATTTCTTGCAAATGTTTTTCTTGATTAGTGATTTGATGTTCAGAGCCATTAATTATAATTCATGCCGTTTGAGGAAAATATGTTGAAGGATGTAGAACATGTCACCTTTTCCCTTTAGATAGCCTTTCCAGACAGATACCTCATGTATTAAGCCTATAGCTAATGAGAGGACTCAGAAGTCAACTAGTTTATCGGCTCTTATTTCTTTTCCATATTTTTCTGCAGCCAACCCATCCATTGACAATTCAGCCATCATCCGCCTTGTGAACGGCAACCGGCCAAGCGAGGGCAGGGTAGAAGTATTCCGAGGCCGAAGCTGGGGGACGGTCTGCGATGACTACTGGGGGATAGAGGATGCAAACGTGGCTTGTAAGATGCTGGGATACGAGAGGGCCGAGTTGGCTTACAGAGAGGCCAAGTTTGGTGAGGGAGACGGGGCCATTTTGCTTGACGATGTCTCTTGCACCGGGAGAGAGCCCAGTCTGTTTGCATGCGATCATAGCGACTTTGCTGACTGTTCTCATGCTGAAGACGCTGGTGTGAAGTGCCTTGAGACCAGCGGCAGAGATCTGTCGTTAGCCTAGGGGGATGCAGACCAGAAGCAGTCCTCCCGGGGGCCCCACTTTTCAAATACCCCAAAGGTGCCCCTTTTTAACATAGGAAAAGTACTCCTTTTACTTTAACAAGTGGCCCTATTAATTTGTATAAGTGCCCCTTCCCCTTTTAACCTCAGATGAGTGCCCCTCTTTATTTTGACACATGCCTCTTTTCCTGTACAAGTTCCCATTTTCCTTTTCAATAAGTGTCTATTTTCCATTCTCATAACAAATAATCCCTTTTTAATGTTTAGAAAGCGCCCTTTTCAGGAACGAGAAGTGTCCCTTTTCACTTTTGATATGTGCCCCCTTCACCTCTGATAATTGCCCTATTCAAATCTGAGAGATGCCCCTTTTACTCTGCCAAGTGCCCCTCCCCCTTTTAATAACTACCCCCTTTTTAATTTGGATAAGCGGACCTTATATTTTCAGAATTGCCCCTTTTCCTAATGATAAGAGACCCCATTTTAAAAAGAGCCCCTTCCCATAAATTCCCTTTTCAGGTACTTTTCAGGTGCCCTTTCACCTCCGATAATTGCCCCTATTCAAATATGAGAGATACTCGTTTTACTTTGACAAGTGCCCCTTCCCCTCCTAATGAGTGTACATTTTCACCTCTAATAACTGCCCCTTTTATATGACACGCGCCCCCTTTCCATTCTAATCAAAATTCATGTTCTTTTTTCTTCTTATAAGTGCCCCTTCCCTTCTCATAATTACCTCTTTTCATTTTTGATAAGTGCCCAGTTTATTCTAAGATGTGCCTCTTTTTCTTTTAATAAAGAGCCACTTCCCCTTCTCATAAAAGCCCCCTCCCATTAAATTTTGATCATTGCCCCTTATCTTTCAACTAATGCACATTTTCCTTTATCATAAGTGCCCCTTTTTCATTTTCATAACTGCCCCTTTTCATATCTGGTCAGAGCCTAGTTTCTGGTGCATTAAGTCCCCCCTTTTTACCTCTGATAATTACCCTTTGTACTTCGACAAAATTACTCCTCTTCTTTTCTAATAAGTGACCCCTTTTCCTCTCATCATTAAACGTGCACCTAATTTCAAGCGACTAAGAGCAATTTCCCCCAAAGCTCACTCGCATTTATAAGTGATACAATTATGTTACTTATCAAATGTCTTTTCAGTCTTCCGTTGCGAGAATGTGCTTATATTACATGCAGCATCTATGTTAGAGAAGAAATGAATAATTACTTTACTTGTGTGTTATTTCTTTATCAATATGTGTGTAATTACTTTGTAGTTGGAAAATAGAAGATTGTACTGCACGGACCGATCAGTCTTTTAGCTTAAACTTTCTTTTGTGTCACACTCCTATCTAATATACTTTCCATCATTTTCGGGTGTATATATTATGTGTCCGTGCCGTATAAAGGTGAAAGCGAAAGAGACAGAAAACAGACAGAAAGGTAGGAGGGAGAGTGAAAATGCGTATAAAAAAATAAGGAGGTAGAAAGTGGTAATGGCTGTGTGTCTTTGCGTTCGAATGTGCGGGTGGGTGTGCGATAGAGAGAGAGAGAAAGGGAGAGGAAGAGAGGGGGAGAAAGCAAGTTGAAGAAAAAGAGGAGTAGAAAGAAACGTGCGAAAGATAATTGATAGAGAAGGGGAAGAGATTGAGAATGAAGGAGAGATAGAGAAAGAGAGCGAGAGATAGGGAAGAGATGTAGAGAGATAGAGAGAGAGAGAGAGCGAGAGAGAGAGAGAGAGAGAGAGAGAGGAAGAGAGGGGGAGAAAGCAAGTTGAAGAAAAAGAGGAGTAGAAAGAAACGTGCGAAAGATAATTGATAGAGAAGGGGAAGAGATTGAGAATGAAGGAGAGATAGAGAAAGAGAGCGAGAGATAGGGAAGAGATGAAGAGAGATAGAGGTAGAGAGAGAGAGCGAGAGAGAGAGAGAGAGAGAGAGAGGAAGAGAGGGGGGAAAAAGCGGGAAAAAGAAAGTTGAAGAAAAAGAGGTGTAGAAGGAAAGGAAAGATGGTTGATAGAGAAGGGAAGGAGATTGAGAATGAAGGAGAGAGAGAGAGAGAGAGAAAGAGAGAGAGAGAGAGAGAGGGAGAGAGAGATAGAAAGAGTGAGAGAGGGGAATTGGGGTGTCTGCTACAACTACAAGTACATAAATTAATAAAGACATACCACAGATTTAGGTAGAACATTATTTAATTAACCAATAACTACGCCTTAGTACATATTTTGAGAGGAAAATTGAAGAAAGGTGGAACATATATTTTATAACTGAATAATCTTAAAGGTACTATGTCCCTTTTGCAGCCAACATCAAATTCTGTAGAACTTTGCAGGAATTATAAATATGTCATGTATGTCCTATCTTTGAAATTTAAACATTAGCAGTGTCCTAATATTCAAATTATGCAAGAAACCCCGTTTACTTGCTAGACTTCACTGTCAGACACTATTGAGTGACTGACTTTTATCATCTTTGGTAATAACATACATAAAATAAGCTGTAAAGGGTACATGGGCATTTGTCTACATCAATAACCCACTTCTTATAATGGCCAAAATTTAACTGATTGAATCTTTTCCCAGCATAAAACGTACGAACATTCGGTACAATGGTCTGAAAAATCGGACTATTACTTACTGGTTCTACAGCTCCTAAGTCGATTTGACAACTAATAGTCGTTATTTTCCCACTTAAAGATATTTTCAAGCCCCCCCCCTTTTTTTAGGGAAGTTCTAAATTAGAATTGTCTTTCAAATGCCGTTGGAATTTAACCTTTTCATTTTTTGGCCTGCAAATGGGACATAGTACCTTTAACATAAATTACACGTGTTATACAATAATCATTTTCTCATCGATTCCAATGAAAGTTGACGAAAAAAATAAACCAAAAGGCGAACGCTTTTACCTCCGATTTCAATTTCTATATCTGAAAGATCTACATGCCACACGAGCTCAAAAACTTTTAAGAAACCAACCTAGAGCGAGTTCAATAGCCAAGTGCGTCACCTTAGAGTGTGTGAACATTACAATGGCGTCATTACGAACTCTGAAAGTGATCTCGAAAGTCTTTGCGATCGAGTTATACTTAAAAGAAGAAAAAATCGAAAAAAACAAAAACACACAACAATTTCTGACATTCATATTCCTACGCACTGCTGATACCAACAAAGAAAAGCAGATCAAATCTTTATCTCCTATGATAAAGAGTAACAATTTAGAGAGATTCTGCCATTATTAAAATGGACAATGGAACAATACGCATCTAGATACATGTTCACAAGTTAAACGTTACGAATATTACATGAAAGAAGAAAATAGTTTGAGAAGATCTGTGTAGAACTAGATGGAACTTTGACTGCGCGCAGTCAAAAATGATGCCTCCGCCATAGAGCAATTTTACAAACCAAAACAGAAACAATTTTTAAATTCAAGTTTGATTGTAATCCATCTGTGGGTTTTAATGATAATGCATGCACAAGCTATTTTTGGCATACATAATGAGCCATGTGACCTTTGACCTTCGACCTGGTGACCCCAAAATCTAATCAGTTCATTGGCTCTGCAAGATACATACATGACTTGAGTTTGATAGTAATCTGTCTATTTGATCTCATGACAATGCGATCACAAGCTATTGTTGGATACATAAAGACCCCTGTGACCTTTGACCTGGTGACCCCAAAATCGAATCATTTCATTGGCTCTGCAAGATACATGCATGACCTGAGTTTAGCAGGAATCCATCAATCGGTTCTTGAGATAATGCGATCACAAGCTATTTTGCATACATAATGAGCCCTGTGACCTTTGACCTTCGACCTTGTGACCCCAAAATCTAATCAGTTCATTGGCTCTGCAAGATACATCCATGACTTAAGTTTGGCAGGAATCCATCAATCAGTTCTTGAGATAACGTGATCACGAGCCATTTTCGCATACATAATGAGCCCTGTGACCTTTGACCTTGGATCTCGTGACCGCAAAATCTAATCAGTTCATTGGCTCTGTGAGATACATACATGACTCAAGTTTGGCAGGAATCCATAAATCGGTTCTTGAGATAACGCGATCACGAGCCATTTTCGCATAAATAATGAGCCCTGTGACCTTTGACCTTGGATCTCGTGACCCCAAAATCTAATCAGTTCATTGGCTCTGTGAGATACATACATGACCCAAGTTTGGCGGGAATCAACCAATCGGTTCTTGAGATAACGCGATCACGAGAACGGGACGTACGGACAGACGTACGGACGGACGGACGTACGGACGGACGGACAACCCAAAAACATAATGCCTCTGGCTACTTTGTAGCGGAGGCATAAAAACACGGGATTGCATAGAAGACATATTAATACAGGTGTATATAAATTTGTTTAAAGGCTTCCTACTTCCAACTACAGGTACATTCTATATATCTGTTTGGCTATCACACAAAGATCAAAGTTTTATGGGCAAACAAATTATGAAACAAAGCACATGACACCATCTCAATTTTCAGATCACCAATAAGATATCCTTAACCAAGAGGCTGCATTAATTAAAAATTGTAGTATTTATCTTGATGTTTGAATCCATATTACAGAGGTTATATTTCCATGTTACAAACGATTCCGTGCAAAGAGCCTAAGAGGAGCTTTGACACTTTAATTTTACTCCAATCGGATGATTTCTTCTATCTTTCTCTCTCTCTCTCTCTTCAAGCGCTAATAGCCCTCCTTGGTAACGCCCACTCTGCGATAGCCAATCAGCTCGGGGCGACGACGACGCATGCGCACCATCATCAGCGCCATGATGACAGTAAGAGCGATGAGAACACAGATGGCGCTCACAGCCACGATCATCAGGGGGTCATGAGATTCTGATCCTGGAGAGTAATAAACAAATTAACACGACACTTATAATGATGACAACAACAATAAGAACGACGATCATAATAGTGATAATAATGAAACTAATAGGGCTAAAACTAATAATAAACACGTACCTACATTAAACTGCACGACTATCGATCCTCGGGGAATCTCAAGGCACCATCTTGGTAATAAGCCTATTATTACCAAGACCTATGCCAAGCTGAATGTGTTGATTCATTCACTGGCGGGTAGGAACGGGGGAGGGGGGGGGGGGGGGGGTGGTGGTACAACCATTGCAAAAGAGAAGGGGAATACTGTAGTACACAACTCGAAAAAACGACCCACTTATTCAATTCGTTTTACCCCACGGCAACATACATTTGTTATCAACCCTTTTTTCTTTTCTTTTATTGAAATAGGAATATTTTTTTATTCTCGGGACGTCTCTTTCTTCCTCTCTCGCGCTTATTATAAAGTTTTACAGAATTATAGTGCCCGTGGTCCCTTTTAAAAAATCAGGTACTCGTTCTGAATCAATTGGGCATTTCCGCAATGTCATCTGATTCATTTAAACGTCTTTGTGAGGCACCTGGATACGAATTACTTCCTTCATCTGTTACGAATGATTGTACTTTAATAGTTATAATGCAAATTGCATTACGTGTTGTTTGGTAGGGCAAGCAACAAATATTGTTTGGAGTTCGCATTCCAGGACAAACAATAATGTTAGTCCTACCTAGCATCAACACACTTCACAGTGACGTATGCATTTAATTTGGTTTAGCCTACATTACGAAAGTGGTAAACGATATATATCTCGATGAAATCATTGGAATTGTGCTAAATATACCAATCACAGCGGTCCGGGCGCGTCTTATTTTTGGGAGACGCCGGGCCCGGGCGCGTTTTATTTGTTCGTACCACGGCGAGCCCAGAATCCAGTATGAACTCATTTTCATACATAACAAGCTACGAGAGCTTGCAAAGAGGTCACAAACAATTCGACTTTGATTATTTATTGCTTTGCCTCACTATATAATAAAGGCAAAAAAACTAAATAAACTGAGATTTGAACCCTCACGGCAACTCCAAAGTTTTATTAGTAACACGCTGTCCTTACCGATTGAGCTGACGATGGGTTGATGACAGATTGATTTGTATAATTACTATCACCCTATTAACCACCCTACCGGATTCCACGTGCGCATGCGCTGGTTCCCTTTGAGAGTGCGCATGCGCAGGTTTACCTCGCGAGTTCAATCTGGGCTCGCCGTGGTACGAAAAAATAAGACGCGGCCCGGGCCTGCAGAACATTTGACTTTTACATCTGTAAGCTGCTCGCATTGTCTTGTAATGTTCGCTGTTTCATGTGACATGAATTCCTTTGCATAAATCGGTATTGTCAGATGCCGCCTTATCTATTGCACCATGAACATACAGGACATTATGTACTCTTCAGAAACTACTCACCATCTTCAAAGCTATCAAGCAACATAGCCCTTTGAGAGCGTGAGGCATCGGAGAGCGGCCCGCTCGTGATGGTGTGGGGTTTGGATCCCGAGCCTGACGGCTGCAGACTTCGACGAGATCGGGCTAGGCACCCCTGAGCGCAGCGGGAGCTCGAGTCGTTTTTGTCACAGATCAGGATTGAGCAGTGAACGTAAACCTGTTTTGAGAGACGATAGAGCTAATTAGAAGGTGAAAAATAAATGCAAAGCATCTTTACGACATAAAAGATGGTATAACGCTAATCGTAAATTGTTATCGTGAATCATAATAATTTCCCATATTTCGAACGTAAAGGCTAAAGAGGACCTTAATTATAGTGTGCGGTGCCGTGGTTCTAAGACTCGTACTACGTCTACTGAATTTAATGCAGTAGGCTTACTCAACCAAAAGCTTTATTCCTTAATAGGTACCAAGCACTAAGCCCATGAAACAGAAAATTTATCACCCTAACCATGATTACCCTGCGAGTTAATAAAACAGATAAACGCATAGCAATAAAACCTAATTAGTACTTGATTTTGAGATTTTAATCAAGAAACTGAAGGAATATTGGCATGCAACGGTAATTTAAGTCAATATTTTTTGCACTGTAGTTTTTCATTCGTTAATTGTGTGGTGTCTTTCCCAATTTGAATGTGAAAGACTGCACCAGTTGCTGACGCATTCCTACGTCAGTAGAGCTTAGAATAAAGCCCCGGTTGCCGAACCTGTGGTTAAGTCAAGTAGCCCATGCTTCCGTTTGAACTCACTGTCTGCACCATTCGGAGCAACTTTAGAATACCCCACCAGACGTTCGTAGGTTACACAACGCTTCATCAATGAAGCTAAATCTGAGGACTTTAGTTTCTTAGGTAGCACTAAACCTAATCCTATTCATAACCCCAACCTTAACTCTAACCGTAGGTCATTGACGTTTATGTTCATAAACCCTTTAGGTGGGGGGTACTCTTAAGTTAAGCCCATCCTTCATTTTAGAATCACCGTTTGTCACTTTCACATGCCTCATCGGAGACCACATTAATCACTGACGCAGTACTACGTCAATACAATGACGCATCGGGTGTAACGGATACGAGGGGTACAAAGGGCCATTGTTGTACTTGACACTCACCTTGTCGAAATCGCCAATGAAGGCAAAAGCAGCGATACTGAATCCCTTGGAAGTTGGAGAGAGCCAATTGTAAATGACTGTTGTGCTGTCCACGGCACATCTACAAAACACAAACACATTTTTAGAAATAAATTGGCTGTCATGATGAAGTACGTCGTGCATTTATTATTTAGGCTAATGCATTGGCGGACTAAGACTGAAATTCGGTTGAGAATTTCGATACGACCGGCCCACTCAACCTCTAGGATACATATATCAACCGGCCACCAGAGCACCAATCGACCGGTCCTCGTGGCAGAATGAATAGTGGGAAACTCCCCACACTCCCCATAGTCAGTCCACCCCTTAGGAATGGTACGGTGTTTGCCCATTCATGAGAGGGCGTACAATGCTCTTACTTGGTGGATGCAATGCAAGAGTCAACACGATAAACAATGAGTAAGCAAAGGTAGAGAACAATTCCCACCCATATTCGATGATATCATAGCGGTGGTCGTCCCGTGGGCTCGGCGAGCTAGTTGCCCAGCACGACTCGATGAGAAGCGTGAGGTTCGTGACGGACGTCAGGCCGACGCTGAAGTATAGCGGGGCGCCGAGCGTAACTTCGCCCGAATCGTTGGCAGGTTGGTAGAAGCCTGAGTTTGTATACCGGTCAAGGTTTAGCGAGAACTCGCCGTACCCTTCCTAGAAAGTGAGTACACATTTGAGAGAGAGAGAGAGATACATTTCAACTTATACGTGTGTCTAAGGGAGAGAGATGGGTACATGGGACACAAAAATGTACCTGAAAAGTTTGGTCGAGACATATAAACTAACAAAATTTCAAATGATAACAATAATAACTATGACAATATTCATAATTAGATTAATGATAATGGTAATAATAGTAATAATAATAAGAATGATAATGATAATAACAATTAAAAAACTACTGGTGTCTTCTGATAGAGTACCGAAATGATAATGCCATATCCGGCCGTCGTTCAGGTGACTGGTTCTGAAAAACAGAGTCTGCACATGAGGTTCACCTCAAAATCATTCAAGCAACGGGCTAGATTAGGGCGAATTCAGTGTTTGAGGCTGGTGTGATCACCACACCATTGTTTAGCACAAACATTGTTTGGAACCAGCAACCTTCACAACTTAGCCAGTATGACGTCACGCTTCGGTTATTTTATTTCGCGCAAATGTCCTCGCGCTGTCGTGCTCCTGGCCCTCGAACATGATTACACTGTTCGTGCCAAAGGACATTAGCGCCGAGTTGGGATTAGAACCTTTAACTCTTGGATTGATAGCCAAGTGAATAACTATTCCACGACATCTCCACCAACATACCACGTTGCTCCTACCAACATTCGCTTACATTAAGCTACAAGGTAATTGAATACTCACCTCTTCAAAAACATAAAGATTTGCTTTAGGCAAGAAAGACTCTTCCAAGGCCTGCGTCCTCTCCAGGTAGCAAGTAACAGGGATATGAAGATAGTGTTCTCTGGTAATGAGCTCAGTTCCATTTTCAGGGCGAGGCTTGTAATACGTCACCACGTTCGTAAATATTATGTAGTCGTCGTCTTGCTGCAGGTATTGATGGGTAGGAGGGGGGGGGGGGGACGAGGGCATATTAAACGAAAATGTTAATAGAGAAACTGTTATGGGAACCAAAAGATAACAGTGTGCCGTTTTTTAGAACAGTTAAACGTTTTAGTTGTCTTCCGATGATGACGATGATGGTAATAATATCAATGTTGACAATAATTATGATTATAAGAAATGAATAAATAGCTGTTCATAATAATATATCAACTATGGAATGCCGGAAAGGTGAAAACCAGAATAATAACAAAAATTACGAATAAAGACAAAGAACAACATTTTGTTCATCTTTAGCCTCTACTGCCATCTATACTTCGGTGTTCTATTCCAGGGTATTCCCGCCTCTGAAATTTACGTCCTTTGGGCCGAAAATATCGTGTTCAAAAAAAGGGAAAGAAATACATTTGGCTTGACAGACAGCTTCAATATGTTTTTTCATATTTTAACCTTGGGTCTTGGACTCAAAAAGATGCATCTAGAAAATATATTTTCCCCCAAATCGATGATCATGACCACCCTGTGTTATTCATCTAGCCCATATATATTCATAGTGAAACAGATGTTAGACATGTATGCAGAACCCTGACGCTATTTATAACTATACGTCTATTACTGATGGGAAAAAGTATCCTACGAGCACTTGTAAATATAGATAATTAACATTGTCACTGAAAGAACGGAACAGCGATTCATGAGAGTTTGTTATTGAAATCTTCATCAAGCAGTATTTTTGTGATGTATCAATTGTACATAAAGACCTATTGACCATACCTCTTGCGTAGTACCACATCTGTCGTACGTGGTGGTGATCGCTACATGCTCACTGTCGTGGACGTATGCAACACAAGACTCGTCTTCGAAATGGACATCGCGGGCGTCGTCGCCGATCTCGAGAAGGACTCTGTCCAAAATAAGCGTCATCGACACGTTGTCACAAGTCAGGTCTGGCCCTGTGAGAAGATATCAAACGAATATTTGTCCATGATGAAACTATGAAGTACTTGTTCTTGTAATTTGTGGACCTCACATGGTGAGAGTGTATTCCCAAGGGGTTAACTATATCTCAATCTCTTCTTCAAATCAGCAGGATTCCTTTTTATGTCCTTTTTTAACTGAATTTTTCCAACAAAATCATCTCTCCCGAGTGAAAATATAAAAACGAATTGAACGTTGATCCCAAAGTCAAGATATGTTGACTTGATGTGAGCACCCCCCATAACCAGTGGCGTAGACAGGTTCGTACACCTGGGGTGGATGACTGGGCTGCCAACGCTAGTGAGGGCGCGAAGCGCCCGAGCGAGGGAGCGAAGCGACCGAGCGGGGGGAGGGTGTGGGAGGGGGTGTCCCCCTCCCACGGTAGGGAGCTTTTGCAATTTTGAACTTGAAATCGTGCAATCTGATGCATACTTAATGAGGTAAAATAACACACACAAGCGTGAACGCACACACACACGCACTCTCTCACACACACACACACACATACTACGCCTTGAATGGACAGACATACATCGACAAGATCTACACACCGTGGCATACGAATACAGAATGGACTGACACATAGTATTGCATATTGAACCACACTATGTATTTATTTATCTCTGTGAATTTTGCTGTTACACCTCTTCAGAAAAAAACCCAATGTCAACTGTGTACACGCAGGTATAGTCTTTGTTGTCTTGATAGGGGTATGTGGTTATGAATGAAAACAGCCTCTGTGGCCATTTGTGAATAGAACACATAAACAACAAACAAATAACGATTAAACTTTGAACAATATGTCTGTTCATTATAAAGCATAATGAATACGTACATACCATGCTTTTTTTACCTCAAAGAAACAGGCATAGTATCCATAGATGGATATTGGCTGGCGGCTCATTAACGTACAGATACAAAAAAAAATAAACAGTATCACTATGATCCATGGAGTAACAATACTGCTTTGTAAGTTTGTGAAGAAATCGGAACCATAACGGCATTGCATCGTTTCAAATTAGGGCATTATTTACTTCTATTTGATCTCACTCTTATAATAGTAATAGTAATAGTAATAATAATAATAATAATAATAATAATAATAATAATAGAAATAAAAAATAATACTAATACAAATAATAATGCTAATACTAATAGGTTCCTTTTATCTCGCATTTCAAGACAGGGTAAATTCACACTGCGCTTTACATGAAACAAACTTCTTTAAACATTTCAAACTTATGTCTTCATGCATCAATCAACATACTTTAAATGAATACAAAACAAAGTGCATCTTAAATAAAACAAAAATAAATAAATAGTTAACAAAACAGAAAAGATGTAGCTGCTGCAAGCTTAACAACATACTAATGTATACCAGTCAGTCCTGATATCAGTATTAGTGTAACAATAGTCATATAGTGGGAGCATGAAGTTGAACAATTCATGATTATACATAATTATATATGTTTGTTTGAATAATACTTGTTATAAAGATAGTAGTATGGTACTCTCTGTCACGAATTATTATGTATACTGTTGTATCACATTCATTTTCTATTCTGTTTTAGAATTGGCTTTCACCGTGTGAATGCGGCTAACAATAAACACAATTACAATAATGATGAGGATTATTATTATCATCATCATAACTATTATTATTATTAATATTATAATTGTTATCATTATTATTATTACTATTATTATCATCATTATGACTTATTAAGTAAGCAAATGTTCCCCAAAACCTGGGGGGGGGGGATGATTGTACATGCCATCCCCCTCACCCCCCCCTGTTGTCTACGCCCCTGCCCATAACAATCAAACAATTCGTTTTTTTCTGAAGGTGTAATCGTACATATTATGAATCCAATAAAGCAGGCGTTGATGTGTTTGCTGAATGGTCACTGTAGAATGGTATAATTTCCTTAGTATTTATTGTTTGTGCTGCTCGTTTTGCAATTCAGTTTCAGCGCACAGTCACTCTCACAAGGTGCGAACCTCTCTCTGACGCAGTCCTGCATCACCGATTTGACGCCGCGTGTGCAACGTGTAGTTAAAACACAACTAAAACCTTGTCGGAATGCAAGAAAGACGGTCTGAACATACATAATCTGAACTCAATGGACCCTCTACTCTACTTCTTGTGAGTTATTTGACACAACCAGAGACTAGCTGATTAAGGTTCGATCTGCTCAAGACTTTATGTAATTGCGTTTAAAGAGAAGGTTGAGTTCTGGGAGAGGTGAAACATACTTTTACAAGTAACAGTTTAAAACGAGGCCCGAATTTTTTTTGCCACATGTTTGTGTAGTCCCATATACAATGACGTTTTTCTTTGAGCAGTATCTCGCTTAGTTTTGCTCTTTTTTCTCCCAGATTTTGGTATGTTATAGCTTTGGCTATACGAATTGTGCCTTTTGCTTTTTGACCAGGGCCCGTTACATAAAACTTACAATTGATAGTAAATTTGCCATCAATTACAACTACCATGGTAACATGACACAACAGCCAATCAAAATCAAGGTCACCATGGTAGTTACCATCAATGGTACGTTTTGTGCAACGGGGCCCCGATGTAAGGATCATGTCGAAAATTCAATTGAACTTTGAAATTGCGACTAAGCCGAGGCCATTTGTCGGCTTCGCAACAGTATAGCCACAATCAGGGTGCAAAACCATTTAAACTTGGATCCAAAAAATGAAGTATGCAATAGAGCAGTTTCAGCAACCCCAAATTGTTCATCCATACCCTAGGGTTAATACCCTGCAATATCCTGGAGGAAACTATTTTGGTTATCATTTTATGAACAGCAACACAACAGGGGGTGCTATAGGTATTAATACAGACACTACACAGAGCTACTAAAATGGAATTTTCCAAGCATTATTTATCTTAACACACAAATATTTTGCACTTCTGTGGGGAATTTATTGGCCATTTGTGAAAAATAAAAAAATTCACACTCACTTCAGTCCATAAATTAGATTCGGTATACACATCATAGATAACACAAGGCCAAATCTAATGCCATTTTGTCAAAACCTGAAACTTTTTTAAAAGCCAACCAAACATTGGTAAATGAGACAAATTCCAAACTTTAGTCCCATCTGTATACATATAAAAAAGCACCAGGAAAGAAGGAAGAAGAGAATAAAAAGGATGACAACCTAAGAAAAAAAAAAAGAATACAGGAAAGGATAAGAATTAGAAATAAGGAAAAGGAAGAATAATACAATTAAAAAGAGGATAATACAGAACATCATGTAGCATAATCAATGTGATATTAGACATAAGCATGGAAACCCTAGATATTTGAAAATACGAAATTAGAATGTACCTCATTATGTCCTTGTATATTATGTGGTGCATGATTCAATGTGCGTTCGGAGAAGATTGCACTGCATGCTTTGTCCTTGTATCGTATGTGCTGCAGGATATATTCAGTATTTTTAGAACCCAATTTTAGGAACTCGTTAAAATAGCGTTGGAAAATTTGGGGTCATAAAAAGACCACAGTCTGTACTTTATGAAGAGTATTTGTTCAACCAACTTAGTGGTATACTTGTTTCACCTTAGACAGTGTATGCAAAAAAACATCATAAAAAAGGCATATTAAAAAAGAAGTGATAATTAATCTATATGCAAAAATCATGGTGTAATCAATAATCATTTCTGATACGTTTATTCTATACTCGTCAGATATTTGATCGTTGTTGGTGGTGGCAATTAAACCAGTATTCGTAAAATCCTCAGATATAAATTCAAATGTCGGTAAACAAGTCAAAAGTGACCTCAGTCTATTTTTTCTCTCTCTCTTCATTAAATAGTAAGCTTAATTTATCGAGAGAAATTGTGAGCAAAAACGTAGACAATGAGATATTTAATTATTTATATGTAAATCCCCTCAAAGGGGGTGTCCTCAAAAGAAGGTATTTATCCATAGTCCTCAGGAGACACTAGTCATACGCGTACTGGTGTGCGCGCAAATGTTTATGTGTGTGTGGATATTAACTAAAATGTAGTGACTTATACATTTTGTAGGTAGGCAAGTAAATGATTAAAATAATGTATTTTCTCATGTAACGTACATATTTGATGTCATAGACAGCTTTTACATTGTTAACATTTATTTTAGAACGCTGTTACCCAGAAAAGGAGGTACAGTTTGGCTTGCACGCCTTGCACGCCTTGATATTACTCATTCTGTAGTGTCCGTAACAAAGATCTGTAGTGTCCGTAACACTGGCTCCTACTCTTTTCTACCCTCTGTATTGAAACTAAAACACAATGATGCATTTAATTTGATACTTTATTACATCTATCTAAAATTGTTGAAATAAAATACTGAAATTGAAGTCAATTTTTAAAAATCTTAAATTAAATTCATGGAAAATAGCTTATTTGTTTGCGAAATATTATATCCAGGAGAAAACCTTTCAGGGAAAGAGAATTTTTTTATTCACTGAGAAGAGCACCTGTGTCAAATCAAAGTGTGAATTAAAAATTAGTAGTATTTAGTTATCAAGCTGTACTTTTACACCACCTCACACTTGTGTTTCGGACACTACAAATTCCATTCATTAAATTGCAACAAAAAAAACACACAACTGTTATGCTTAGCCGAATATTATTATACCACAGCTAGTCCCCGGGGGTAGTTACACAAAGCAAAGTATATAAGAACTTTGAAAACATTGTCATATAGCAGGAATGACACCGTTACGGACACTACAGGAACTTCTGGACAAAATTTATGATCGGAATGTTTTCATATATTTTTGTAAAGTTTGTATCTATGTTTGATTTTTTTTTGTGATGATAAGACATCATGTTACTCAGAAAATACCAACTAGACCTGCAATCGTGTCACAACGATATGCGTGCAATGACGGGCGATGTGGCACTAACGGTCGTCTATACTAACATAACCATAAACAGTATAATATGGTGTCTAAAATGCCCCCTTGACA